TGCCCTTCATGCTCTTCTTGCCCTTCATGCTCTTCTTGCCCTTCATGCTCTTCTGCCCTTCATGCTCTTCTTGCCCTTCATGCTCTTCTTGCCCTCGATGAGGGGACAGTTTTGTGCCGTTTAAATTGTTTGTGCTGGCTGTTTATACCGTTCGTGCTGACTGTCTATGTCAAACTTAGGCATCCCCAGCCGAGAACCTTTGACCTCGTAGTGTATCCTTATTAAATCTAGGCATAGACTTAGGCACTAACTTAAGCACCAGCTTAGGCACTAACTTTGGCAACAACCTAGGTATAAATTTAGGCATTACTAGTTACACCCTTTAACTAAAGGCTCGTGTACTTTAGGCATGCCTATATTTCTAGGCTCTTTCTATCAGCCTTAAGAAATATTTTAATAGGCTAAGGGGCTTAGGCTTAGGCTTAGGTGTCTAGGTGTCTAGGTGTCTAGGTGTAAGTAGTATTTACTTTACTCTCTCTCTCTCTCTTCGCCTACTTAGGTGCCTAAGTGCTTAGGTTTAGGCTTCCTTAGGCTTATTTACCTACCTATATACTTAGATATTCTCTAGGTATTCTCCTAGGCACTCCCCTTATCTAACCTACGCCTTAAGCATTCCCCTAGGCACACCCTCACCTCACCTGCGCCTTATTATACTTATCAACCTACCCCTATATCTAGGAGGCTGCGGCATGCCTAAGTTGTGCGCGTCTGGGTACCTCCTAGGCATCTACTGTAGTCAGGGTACGGATACTATGCGTATATTGCAACACTCACTTCACCGTACTCTAATATTCGATCAGATCTTCGAAGTGCTACCTACCTTATTCATCATCGCGACGTCTAGCTACTGTACGGAGTACTACCAACACTGTACTCAGTACGCTGTACGGGCACTTGACTACGCCAGCAACATTTGTTTGTCTATCAGGTACAGAGAGGATCGATCTACTGTACCCTTCCTCGTCCCGGTTCCACAGCGCACGCACGCACGCACGCACCATCTTGCACTGTCTCTGCACCGTCTGCGGAGTCCAGCATCGCCGCCATCGCCGCCATCGACCCCCGCCGCCGTCTCCACCGCCATCGCCATCACCATTTGGCCCATTGTTCGACGTGCCGCTGCGCAGCATACAATGACGATGATTTCTTTGCCCGTGCGGAATAAGCCTGTTGCCGTAGAGCGAGAGAATTGGCCGCAGAGTTTCTATGTTGACGAGGAGGACGTTCAGGACGAAGCCAGGTTGAGGGCGATGGTGCAGGAGAGGGTAAGAGGCATGATTGACATTGCTGCAGATGGTTGCTGTTTGCTTTTGCTGCCTGGCAACCCTGGAGGAATGGGAACGCGGTCATGTTCGCTCGCTCTGAGTGCTTGCCGGCTGTGCTGGAGTGCTTCGAGGCTGCGTTCGCTGAGTGCTTGCCGGCTGCGCTCGCTCTCTCTCCTCTCTCTCCTCCTCTGCCTTCTTGTCCCGGCTGCTGATTCTGCTTGTTAGCCTCGTTCCGGCGACTCTGCTTGTTAGCCTCGTTACGACTGCTGTTCTGCTTGTTATCCTCTTTACCATTGCTATTCTTATCCTGACTCTTGCTCTTGCTGACATTTTCTACACATAGCTCAATATAACTCGAGTGTCGCTTGATCCCTCTCCCACGACGACCAAAGGCAGCGAGTTTCCATGGCAAAGAATAGACGACAACGTCTGCGCGGTGCTGGTCGACCTGAGAAGTAAGAAGGGGAGTCTCAGCGTCTCCAATTTATATCACCGCTATCTATTCGAGATCAAGAGCGGGGAAGGGCGCAAGGGCCATGTCATCTTCCTTCGAAGGATTGCTCAACACGTCTATATCTGGGAGGATATCTCGGTGAAGTGTTTCCGCCGGTGATGGACATGCTCTCGCATGGTCTGAAATCACCGTACACACAGGGTTGAAAAAAGAAGGATGGCTCGCTCACATAGTGAAAGGATCAATCAAATGCCCTTGGTCTCTATTGGGGGGACGGCAAGATGACGATGGTATGTTGAAGGCGCGGATCCTGGTCATGATGGCAAGGGCTGGTCAACGATATGGTGCACAGAAAAATGGCGGTGTCTGGTCTGGTGGAAGTGTCTGGTCTGGTGGTGTCTGGTCTGGTGGAAGTGTCTGTCTGGTGGAAGTGTCTGGTCTGGTAATGGAACGGGAAACAGGTACCGGTGGAAGGTCTGAGCGCGCTGGCTGTGTCATTTGGCTGAGGAATACTGCAGCCTCAGTTATCTTTGTCTTGTTCGTGGTGTCGAAGGCTTGCTTGACAATCTTGTCCGTTAGGTTGATGTCCATTAGGTTATATGGTACCTCTGCTGTTTCGTCCATCAAGTTGAAGAAGAGCTCAATTGTCTCGTCTTATCCGTTAGCAATGGTACCTCCAACTTGGTTGTTTCAACCTCCACACCATACATCAATCGGTCGAAAGATGGCTCGCTCTTTGGGTGAAGGCAGTACAACTTATACTTTATTCAATTGAACTGGTCTCTCCATCTTGGTTGTTTCAACCTCCACACATCAATCGGTCGAAAGGTGGCTCACTCGTCGGGTAAATACAACTTATGCTTCATTCAATGCGGTTGAAAACAACTTATACTTTATTCCATTGAACTGGGTAGGGCAGTCATTTCGGAATCTCGGAATTTCGAGAACATGGCTTTTACGGTTGTTGACTTTACTTTAGGGTTTGTTTTCTCCTCTCGCGCCGCTGCGCTGTGGAGTTTGCTTTCTCTTCTCGCTCCGCTATGCTGTGGAGTTTGCTTTCTCCTCTCGCCGCTGTCGCTGTGGACATGGTTGATAATCCCACCCGGTTGCACGGCATATATTCTCGGTACTGGCGCAACCTTGATGGATGGGTATCAACAATCATCACGACTACGAGGTGTACAGTAGGCCTTAGACCATGTTCACAGGCTGACCAGCGTTTAGTGATAAAGGACACTATAGCCTACTATCCGCCTGTAATATACCTAGAGTGTCGCCTATAATAGCCCCTAAAGCACCCCTAAGGCACCCTTAAAGTAACCCTAAAGTACCCCTAAAGTGCCCCTAAAGCCAGAACACGCGAGTATACGAGCACCCGTATGTTGAACCCTAGGTGGACCGTCACCACGGCTTATAGGACGTACCTAGCTGTCCTCGCTCTAAACAAGTATTAGTAGAAAGTAAAGAATAGGCTTAGGGGCGTAGTTATCAGCGTGGTTCTAGGCGTGGCAGACTCGATTTCCCCTACGAAGACGTAGGCGGCAGACTTAGGCTTAGCTAGACGCCGATTCGCTAATCTGGCACTTTACACGCCCCTTCTCCGGGTGTGGTTATAGGTATATTAGTATGATTATAGGCGTAGTTATAGGCGTAGTTATAGGCTTAAGACATGGTTCCGGGCAGCGCTCTAGGCACCCTAATAGGGACAGTCTATAAGCTAAATTACAACCAAGTCTAGTCTAGCGTGGGTGCACACCTATAGGTGCGAAATACTCAAAGCCTCGTCTGCGACAAGGGCCATGCCTCTCCTTTACGACCTAAGAAAACAGTGGGAGACAACACGGGCTGATTCAGACGAGAGAAATTCAAATGGCCCGGTCGAAGTACAGTAGTACAGATAGATAGATACTCGAACCCGGAAATCTCGGGCGGAAATCTCGGAATCCTATGATCTCGTGTCAACCAGTGTGAGGCTGCAATTATATCACGTGTACAGCTGACGGAATGTGTCACACGCGATGGGATCTAGAGTTTGGAACTTTATATTTTCAGAGTTTGGCCCAATGTCATAGTACTCCGTACTTAACAAGTCCAATGGGGCAGCTCCAGTACTGTACCCACACTCTGCGCAAAGCAAATTCCAACAACGACATAAGATAGCAACCTTGCACATAGTGACCAGACCAGACTCCAAGGCGACCGGTGCATCCATCGCTAGCCATATCAATCCACATACCAATGACCGTCCCATGTCCGTTCCAGGACCTTCTGCTCAACCTGGCCATATCCATTCCCATCCCAATGATTATTCTCTGGCATCCATGCGGGAACATTCTGCTCTCCTTGGCTGTATCCATGCCCATAGCGATGATCATTCTGTGGCATCCATCCCTGGATAGGAGCATTCTGCTCTCCCTGGCTGTATCCATTTCCAAACCAATTGCCGTTCCCTGGCATCCATCCGGAAATATTTTGTTCTCCCTGACCATATCCAGTCCCATACTGATGATCATTTCCTGGCATCCAACCACTCTGCTCTCCCAGGACATATCCAGTCCCATACCAAGGATCCTTCCCTGGCGTCCATCCGGGAATATTCCGCTGTCCCTGGCCATAAGTATTCCCTGCCATCCATCCGGGAGCATTCTGATCTCCCTGGCTATACTCATACCAATTCCCATTCCCTGGCATCCTTCCAGGAACATTCTGCTGTCCCTGACCATATCTATTCCCATACCAAATACCATCCCCTGGCATCAATTCGGGAACTTTGTGTTCTTGTCGCTCTTTCTGCTCCCTCTGCTCCCTCTGCTCCCTCTGCTCTCTCTGCTCTCTCTGCTTATTCTGCTCCTGCTCTCTCTGCTCTCTCTGCTCCTTCCGCTCCTGCTTCTTCTGTGCCTCCTGTGCTCTCTGCTGATATATGGTCCCTTGCTGTTCCAATTGGGCATCTTCCCTTTCCTCCTTAGCTCTCCTCTCCAACTCCCTCCTCCGCCATCCCCTGCGCACGTGGTACAGTCGTCCCATGATGCTGCGTTTCTTCATCCTCCACGGGGTGTTGGGTTGAAATACATTCTCCTGGTCGCAGTTCCACACCATACGAGAAACTACCGCCCGCAACTCCTCTGGTGGTATGTTGCTCCACACCACATCTGCATCAGCCCACGTCGATTCGGGGTCGGAGGACAGGATAGTGTAGTGGCCAGTGTTCACACATCTCCTCAATTTCTCGGTTTGGATGGAAGTCAGGTTGAGTTTGGCCTGGAGGGTGGTGATGGTGTCGTGGATGAAGATTTCGGGCGTTCTGAAGGGAACTGGATGAGCCATAGGCATGATGGGAACTGGATGAGCCCTAGGCATGATGCTATGCTCGTGTAGGTGATCAATGCCGGCCTAGAGCCTCGATGCTATGCTCGTGTAGGTGAAATGCCAGCCTTATGAGGGTGCTCGTGTAGGTGATCAATGCAGCCTGGAGCCCTCAATGCTATACTCGTGTAAGTGATCAATATCAGCCTTATGAGCCTTATGAGGGTACTCGTACCTATCAATGCAGAAACAGGTGCCGATGCAGATACCGATCCAAATTGGATGTAGAAGCGGATAGATAGAGGTATGTAGAGGCTACAGTGTACTGGGCAAGAACGGATAGCTTGTGCTTTCAGATGGAAAGAAGGCTGAGGCTGAGGCTGGGAATTTCTGCGATTTATCTAGGGTACGTCACATGATGCGGTGCGGTGAAGGCATGGCCATGCATGATATGACATACTGGGCTGAGAGGTCGATTGCTCCATCAGTACAAGCGAGAAGTCGATCCTCCATCAAACAAGCGAGAGCGATTCGTCCATCAGTACAAGCGAGAAGTCGATTCCTCTATCGTACAAGCGAGAAGTTGTGAGGACAAGCTCGTTTCTTTCCATTCTGTATGGTTGAACTGGAGCCTTTCCCTTTCATGCCTCACACCTTCCTTTCTTAGGTACTGCTGTAGCCGTCGCCGTAGCCGTCACTTAACCGTGTCGTAAGTTGAATGTAATAATCGTGTCGTAAGTTGAATAGAATAACCCTCATCTGTTGAAGTCCACAACCTCCATTTCACCACAAATAATGATCAATGACATTCCTGATTACAAGTCTGCTGCGGGGGAGATCGCCGGAGCAGCCTGAAGAAATTAATTAGCTGGCCATACAACTCATCCGCAGGAGTCTCTGTCATGGGGTATCGTCCATATGGCCGTGTCATCAGCAACACTGGGCCGGTGAGGAATCAGCCCCTTCCACGAGATCGCAACACTGATCTGGTGAGGAATCAACCCCCTTCCCGAGATTAGCAGGAGGCCGTCCCGTCTGCAGGTCTGAAGGTTGGCATATATCGCCACAGACAATAATGAAAGATATTCTGGGAGGTCCTCGAGTGGGTACTGCAGTCTCCAGGGACACGCAGTATCATCGTGGGTACCGTGGCGTGCTGGGAACCGTGGCGTGCTGGGAACCGTGGTGTGCTGGGGACCGTGGTGGGCTTGATTACGGGGACCGTGGTGGGCTCAGCCGGGTGCCGTCATTGCCATCCATCACGATTATGAACGGTACAGGAAGTACACTTTTCTTGCGATGCTATATTGTTCGTTTGTTGTATCTTACGGAAGAGGAAAATCGTTCGTTTGCTTTGTATCCTACAGGCAAAGGAGAGCAGGGTATCTTACGGGAAGAGGAGATGAGAGGAGAGCAGAGCTGAGCAGTGAAGGGAGGCTTCCTTACAATGACTTGAGAAGTAGGAACTTGAAACCAGTACAGTAGCAGTAGCAGTATGTTGATGACAACCATACCCATGCCGACGCCGACGCCCACGCCCATGCCTTAGGGTAGCTTGAAATAAGGAATACAGTCCAAATCGTGCCTTGTGTAGCTTCCAGTGAGCAATACAGCAAGTCATGCCCTTAGTGTACATATCTCCAGCCCTCAATAAAGTCCATGTCATGCCCTCAGTGTACCTGGCTTCCAGTCCGCATTAAGTCATGTCCAAGTCGAATCATTTCGAACTCATGCGTGGCGTAGCACAGACTCAGACTCTGACCTGGACTCCGACTCTGACCACTAGACCGCTAGACCACGCTACTAATCATCGACACTCAGTAGACAACAGACAACTTCAACACAGCGCAAAGTCCGCTGGATAGATCAAGTCAGATCCTCTCCAAGGAATGAGTCCTCATACCTCGGAGCTCGACCTGTTGCCGCGGCCAGACGTCGACCGAATCGACATATAAGACTGTGCGAAGCTCGAAGAGGACACTTTCCGGCGAGTAGGTGCGTTCTACTAGCCCTTTGGTCCGTTTGATGAAGAGTCCTATTGGGAAGTCACACTGTTCATGGCCTCTGGGTCCAGTTTGATGATAAATCCCAGTAGGAAGTGTTGTATGATTCAGGGAGATTGAGTCGTTTCGAACACCTTCCACTCCGAAGCCAGCTGAGCTGGTCGAAAACTGCCTCAGCCGCTCATCCACGACAGTGACAGTGAGAAGAGAGGGTATGATCTCACGGCCTGGCTTCCAAAGGCACGTCGTAAAACACGAATCGGCGCCACGGTCACGTTGCGATCTTTGACTTTGACTGAAGACTTGCCTCGCGTGTCATCACAGTCGATAGGCGAATTGGGTTGATTCCAGTTCGCGCCTTGCGTTGTGTGTCTGTGTGTATGTGTCTGTGTGTGTATGTGTGTAGGGGGGAAAGAGAGAGAGAGACGGCGAGGGGGAGAGACAGCGAGGGAGAGGGCACTGGAGATATACTGTATATTAAATTAAAATATTTCCAGTTCTCTATCAAAGGGATATAGGGAGAGCCTTAGGGCCTCTGGCAGACTATTTAGGCATGCCTATACCGATCTTCTAGTTAAAGAATAGGGCGGGAATTCCTAAGTCAGTGCCTAAGTTTGACGGTCTAAGCCTAAACCCAAGCCTAATCCTAAGCACTCACCCTTATCCGGAGAGGAGCGAGGAGCGAGGAGCTATGTAAAATCAAGTTTAGGGTACGGAGTAGAGGACGTATATGTTATTCTATACTATTAGCCGTGGTAATTCAATTCGAACTTATGTTTGAAGAGCTCTAGAGAAACTTAATGATCAGGTTATGTTAGTGTCGGTGCCAGTGTCGGTGCCAGTATCAGTGTTGGGGGCAGCGTTGTTGTTAGTTTCAGTATCGGGAGTAGTGACGGGAGTAGTGCCAGTATCGAGGGCAGTATAGGTGTTAGCGTTAATATCAGTGCCAGTATCAGTATCAGGGGTATTATCATTGTCAGCGCCAGTACCTATATCGGTATCGGTATCAGTGTCGAGGGCAGCGTCACTATCAGCGTCAGTGCCAGTGCCAGTGCCTGTGTCGGTGTCGGTATCAGCGTCGGGAGCAGTGTCAGTGTCGGTAACGCCGGCAGTGTCAGCGTCAATGTCAATGTCGGTATCGCCGGCGGTGTAGGTGTCAGTATCAGTATCGAGGGCAGCATCAGTGTCAGTGTCAGCATCGGGAGCAGCGTTATTGTTCGTGCTAGTATCGGTGTGAGTGTCAGAGGCGAGGGCAGTATCGGGAGCAATATCAGTGCCAGCGTCAGTGTCGGTGGCGGTGTCAGTGTTGGTGTTAATATCAGTGTCAGTGTCGGCAGTAGTATCGGGAGCAGCGTCAGAGTCGAGGCAGCGTCAGTGCCAGTACCTATATCGGTGTCGGTGTCAGTGTCAGTGTCGGTGACTTGCATGCCAACGGAGACCTCGATCATCCAACGATTCTGCAAAATGGACGGTGACCAAGGACAACATTATCTTCCGAGACGCTGAACAGATTATGATCTTCAAAGACGGCGAGCGTTTATCCGGTAATCTGGATGAAAATGTCAGTGTCGGGAGTAGTATCTATATCGAGAGCAGCGTTATTATTAGTACTAGTGCCAGTGCCGGTGTCGATGTCAGTAGCGGTATCGCCGGCAGTATCGGTGTCAGTGTTAGAGACGAGGGCAACGTCAGTGTCAGTGTCGGTGTTAGTGTTAGTGTCGAGAGCGATATCGGCGTCAGTGTCAATATCGAGGGCGGCGTTATTGTGGGTGTCAGTGTCGGTGTCAAGGGAGCGTCATTGTTCGTGCCAGTGCCAGTGCCAATGTCAGTGTCAGCGTCGGGGTCGGGGTCGCCGTCAGTGTTGAGGGCAGCGTCATTTTCGGTGCCAGTGACAGCACGTACCTACCTACCTACATATCTGGCAGCTCAAGTCTCTGATCAAAGTAACCACCTTCCATCCAATACGTACAACACATCGCACTACAGCGACAGCTTACCTATGTCGTGGGTGGGCAGCCTGACCGCGTGCACATTAGTGTCCGCATACATTCACTCACATTTACACACTGACCACGTACACGTACACGTACACGTACACTGAGCGAGGGAGGATGGTGGGACGAATGCTGATTAGTCAAAAGAGGCGGAGAGAGGCGGAAACCAAGAGGCGGGAGAGGGAGAGGGAGAGGAAGAGGTAGATAGAGACCGAGAGAGAGGCCTACACGGAGAGAACGAGAGGCCGAGAGTAAGAGAAGACCGAGAGGAAGACCGAGATAGAAGCGAAGACGGAGACTAGGAATAAGAGGGAGAGGCTAGGGCCGAGAGGAGAGACACGGAGAGAGAGAGGAAGAGGTAGAGAGACACGGAGAGAGGTAGACGAAGAGAGATACGGAGAGGATAGAAGACGCGAAGACCGAGAGGGTAGGAGACGCGGAGACCGAGAGCGACGCGGAGACTAAGAGAGACGGAAAGACCTAGAGAGAGAGAGAGGAGGAGGTAGAGAGACACGGAGAGGGAAAGAAAGAGAGATACAGAGAGGGGGGGGGAAGAGGTAGAGAGAGGTAGGTAGAAAGGAAGAGAGGACCGAGGGAGAGGCGGAGACTGAGATAGAGATAGAGAGACTAAGAGCGAGAGGGAGGCCTAGAGACGAGGAGGACGAGAGATATAGAGAGAGACCGAGAGCGAGAAGACCGAGAGTAAGAAGATCGAAAGCAAGAAGACCAAGAGCGAGGAGAGACAGAAACAACAGATCCAAAGTAAAGACTGTCATTGAAATCATCAAGCTAAGCAACCAACAAACTGTCATGTCCGTTTCCCTTCCCATTTCCCTTGCCGTTTCCCTTCCAGTTTCCCTTCTCTTTCAAGTCATAAGGACCGTCATGTCTGTGTTCCTTTCCTGGAGTCATGTCTGTTTTCTTTTTCTGGAGTCATTCATATTCCGAGCGTGTATCCGTACCTGTACTTGATTTCCATTCCTGGAGTCATTGAAGAACCGTCCTTCATTTCCCACCAGACGTTGAGCCAATGGTGTCTGCTTTCATTTCCCCCTGTGAGCTGAGCCGATGGTGTCTGCATGGAACCAGCCATGGCCATTCCCTCTCATCAATCCATGCCACCCGCACCAGTGAACAGATATGAGAAGAGTGAGTGACAAGTGACACCAACCAGGCCACCCACACCAGTGAACAGATATGAGAAGAAGGAGTGACGCCAACCAGCCTCTCATTCCCAGTCAAAAGGCAACAATCAACAATCAACCCCCTGCTGCAACAATCAACCCCCGCGGCCGCCTCTGCTGATGTCTCGGCACCAGCAATAGCAACACCGTCACTGATGACCATCACACCCATCGGCTGTGGCCATCAGCTTGTCGCTCGGGATAGTTGACGTCGTTGAGGTACACCGTGGGCTGAAGCTGCATGTCGGCAGGGTGCATGCCCACCACCACGGGCTGCGGCGGTAGAGTCGGGCTATGGCCCGGTTCCGGGGTCCCCTCGTCACTGGGATCCCGTGGATACAAACTGCCTTTGAACGGTCCCGGTGGATACCCCCTGGTAGGGTCGGGTGGTGTGTCGAATATCCAGGTAATAGTTCCCTCAGGCTCCTCCGGCATGATCCTCCTCAGGAGATTGTTGGGATCGTGCGGATGCATATGATTATGCTCACGAAGATGATCCCGAAGATACTGTATATCATACGACGGATACTGCTGATCATACTGCTGATCATACGGCTGGGGCGCGAGGTCTCCGAACGATGTTGCTGCCCGGAGCGGTTGAGTGGACGGCGAAGTTTGGAGTCGCGCAGGCCGAAGCGGAGCCAAAGGCATCGGAGCCGGACTGTTGTGCGGGACACTCTGCTCCCGACCTCTCCCCCCGGGGGACGAACTTGGGCTGGCACCGGGCCTGGCACTGGGACTGTGACTGACACTGGTCCGTTCCCGACTGCTTCTCAGCCTCGGGGTGGCATTGGCGGCACGTTCCTCGCGGGCCGCCCTTTCACACACGAACTCGGTCCCCTTCCCAAGCTGACGGAAGAAGGCAATCCATATGTGGAAGGGGAGGCTGCAGAAGGTGCAAACCATGGCGGTAATCTGTGGTCTCGCTTTAGCCCGACCATCTTTTTCCCGCTAGAGACCAAGCCGACTTTGTCAAGGCTTTGTCAAGGCTGACACTCACCACCAGAATGACGCTGAACCATTTGCGCCAGACCGCGGCCGACGTCAATGCCGCAGCCAAGGTGACAGAACACAGAACCTGACGGATGAGGTCGGATCGCTCAACGATCGTGTTCTCCACATCCTTGCACAACTGTCGGTGCACCAGCGTGTACAAGTACTCGGCGCAGAGGTGGGCAAAGAGGTAGATGCCAAACGTGTGAATCTTAAGACTGGTCGACGTCAGCAACCCAGGACCTCGACTCATCCTCAAGGCTTGGGCAACCTCAAGGCTTGCGCAAACTCTCACCTGGCTGCGGCAGTGAGAAGCCGGACGCCGAGGATCGAGGTGTTGATCACCGCACACACATGGACCAGCCGGTCAGTTCTTGGGTTGTACTTGGCCCGGGTCAATGACTGTTGTCTCATGGTCAGGATGGTATGTCCCCAACAGGTGTTGACCGGCTCTTACCTCTTCCACCAACAGCAGGAGGATGGAGCCGACGACGCAAAAGTCAATCCAACTGCCATCTTGGGTCGTTGTGAAGAGGACAATGCTGGCCACCAGCAAGGCCAGGCGCTGAGACACCAAGCAGGCAGCCTGGTAGTCTCGGGCGCGGAGGGGACCGGTACGATAGAGGCTGACGATCTCGGTGCCGAGGTGAACGGCGGTAATCAAGGCGGAAATGATCAAAAAGACCAAGTAATGGGTGTCAGGGGCGGAGGTGTTGGCAGCCATCATCAAGCTTTGACGCGGTCAGTTGCGGCGCGGGCCTCCAAGGGAAGGGAGAGGGTCTGCCAACACATACCTTTGTGACGCCGAAGTCTGATGGCTTAGTGCGAATTGGAATTGGACTGGTGATGTTGGCGCTGGCGTTGGTGTCGGTCTTACCTGACGGCAGTCGAGAATGGAAAGGTTGGAAGTAAAGCACTTGGTTAAGAGTCGACCGGTGTACGACAGATCTGAAAACCAGGTGGAGAGATTAGAAGCGAGACAGCCAGCGACATCGTCGCAGCATATAACATTGGCAGATTCACTGCCCAGCCAGCCTCTGGCCATGTCAGAATCCAGACACAACTGATTCATGCAAGCCTCAGCAGGACCTGCCGCGTCAATTGGGGCAGGAACACGAGCTCCAGCGTGCTAACGGACATGCAAAGAGCAGGAGAAAGATCTGCCATCCCGAGCTGAAGCACCGGACCTGTCAAAGTCAAAGTCAAATGCAGATGACCAGATTGTCGGAAGACTGCAATGGAGAGGACTCTTCCCACACATATGCATATGGCACTGGCAAAAACTTCGGAAGGGCGACCAGGTCTCGTCTTCCATCAGTCTGTCTCGTTGAGCCATGGGTATGGGTGTATCTGTTGAGAAAGCGCGAAAAGGGGAATGCATACAGGACTCCGTAGTCAGGTACAGCCTCCTTGCATGTCGTCTGGGGTAAATCCTGGATTCTTTCAGCGATAGATTGCAGGGCATCTTACCTGCTGCGTTTATTCGTGGTGTTTTCCTGATGCTGGTCAACCAGAATCCGCCTTGGGACCCGGCTTGACACAACAGACGGGAAGATCTTGTGTGCCCTGATGATCTAGTTGATATCCGGCTAAAGGAGACTCTCTGCTGGTCTCCGGATCGCGACCGGGGAGTGGGGTAGTCTCGATCGTTCCCCGGCCCCGTGTGAAACATCGGATCTGCCGACCCACAGGAGAGCCAGTACGGCTAGTGAGATGGAGAGGTGAGGCGACCGCAAATCCAAGCCGGTGAGACTCGCTGGGGCGGTAGCACGAAGGAGTCCCCGCCTCCGCACAAGTGAGGCAGCCTCTTGACGAGACCTATGAACACGGTCACAGAGACAGAGCGTTGTTACTACCCAAACTCTGGTGGAAGAAGTAACGGGCCGCCGTGGATCATGAAAGCTACGGTCCCCGATTGTAGAGGCCCGACGACCCGTGCCGTGCGGTGTTCAATTCCGCAGTCTCCGGAGCACCATGTGGCTGCTGGGGAGGGCATCGACTCTGGAAATGACACATCTTCTCGCCGATTCCCTTGCTGATTCAATGCAATGCTGGGTCTTTCATGAGGTCGGCCATGTGTGACGTACTCCTGCACATGGCTGGTGGCCTTACCTTGTGCTCGCGGATCAGTAGTTTTGTCTGATGCACACGGCTGGTTTGGCCAGGCTGTCAAGCAAGAGAGCGGAAACACCGGATAGTGAAGCAGCCAACACAACTGAGACAGAAAGTCAGCTGGCATGTGCAGCCACAAGGGACTTGCAGCTACGAGCAAATTTCAGGGATCATCGAATTGGCTGTGGATGCCTCATGGGCCGTAGCAATCCTCGATCAGCGCCCAGCTTCGTGACGTTATCAAGCAGTTTGGAAATGAAGCAACAAACTGAGCGGCCGAACAACCAGGATACCAGGAGTATCAATGTTCTCTGGGCCGCGAGAACAGGGGTGTAAGGGTCAGGGAGGATGGGTGGAAATGGAGAAGAAGGAATGTGAGGACAAGGACAAGGGACAATGCACACGGGAGGGCTGTGGAAATCAGGCAGCAAACTGCAGCAGCATGCAGCAACACCCACGGCAGCAAGAGCAACAAGGGTGACAAGACACAATATGCCGAAGATAGCGGTGAAAAAAAGAAACGAGGCAAGAATGCAGTTTGGGCAGCAGAGCAGCGGCCAGTGTGTCGACCGGTGATTGCTCAGGTTGATCAGCCAGCCACCAACTCACCTTGCAGCTCAACAAAAGCAATATGCAGGAAGAGATGTAGGCAAGGGATGGCACATCAGCCGTGTCTCTTGCAGGGGGGTCAACACCGTCCAGGATGCGGAGGGCCGCAATGGGCGATTTAGCAGGAGAATGGATGCCTGAGATGGTGGGTGGATGGTGGTGGATGGTGGGTGTTGCTCTGGACAGAATGTGGCGTAGAGCGGTGAAGCAGCCTGGCCAGCTCATCACCTCGTATTCGAGAGGAGAAGCTGAGGCGACAGGGTTCGTCGACTGGGATGCTGCCCTTTATGCATCTCTCTGCATCACTTCGCATCACTTGTTGGGCGCCACTGACAGGACTAGTAAGTACGGATATGTACATACAGTACATGTGATGTGTGAGTTGGCAAGAAAAAGAAACCTGTCGCCCTTGGGAGCCCTTGGGGGGCATCACTTTCTCCAGCCGCTGTCACAGTAGCCTGAGGGCTAAGGGCTTGGGCGGCCATTAGGGGCTCTGTTCGCATAGTAATTGGGCGCCTCTTACAGAGGACATGCATACGATGAAATGTGCTGTGTGAGTGAGTTGGCAACCAGCTGAACCTGTCACCTGTCACCTGTCACCTGTCACCTGTCACCTGTCACCCTTAGGGGCGCTTCACTTTACCTATCACCTTGCCTCACTTTACGCATCACTCTGCCCATCACACCTATCGGCCGCTCTCAGAGCAAGTTTCTACTAGCCTCGGCCGCCGAAACCGCCCCCAACGGAAGCCCCCAGCCCTCCACGCAGCAACTATTGGGCGCCTCCTGCATGAGTTGGCAAAACTTCGAATGTTTCTCTCCCTTGGGCGTGCATCACTTCTCCCAGCCGCTCTTGCAGTAGCCCAAGAAGCCCTTATCAGCCATCTGTGCAAAAGTATTGGGCGCCACCTACTGCACAGTATGGACTACATTCCGTCCCTCCTATTCACATTCACCCCCCTGTTTGAGCTGGGCTGGGCTCTACGTCAATTCTGCCCTCTTCCCCTCCTCTGCCGTCTGCCTGCTTTCCGTTCAGGGAGTTTCGCATCCCCAAGATTCGCTACTTTCTCTTCTTGTCTTTCTCGGCATTTTATCTGGTCAAACGTGTCATGGGATTCCTCGAAGGACAGCCTTCGGCGGTTTAGGCGCCACCCTTCGCCCTATTGTTTTCTCTAGGCACTCTTTCTTGGCCTAAGGGCCCTATTATTTTTACTAGGCGTTGGGTCACCCCTAACTGTTTTTCTAGGCACTCTGTCTTAGCCCTGTTATTTTTACTAGGCGCTGGGTCACCCTCTACTGTTTTTTCTAGGCACTCCTTCTTAGCCCTATTATTTTTACTAGGCGCTAGGTCACCACCCCCGCTATCTTTTCTAGGCGCGTCTCCCCTCCTTAATTATTTTGTCTAGGTAGTGCCCGTGTAAGGACCACGGAGGTGCCGTCTCTAGGCATACCTAGTTACTAGTTTACTTACTTACCCCTAACGTATAGGTGGTTTATTTTCGTTGTATTAGGCGTCTAAGGTATCTTGCTCTAGGCCTGCTTAGCCTTATAGGCCCTCTTTCTTAGTCTTATTCTTCTAGGCTATATATCTTAGGTTTATGATATTGTCTAGGTAGTAAGTCTTAGTCTTACTATCCCCCTACTTTACTACTCTTCTCTCTCTACCCTTTTCTTATCAAACTTAGGCACTAACTTAGGTATTCCAGCCTTGCCCTTTAACTAGAAGGCTGGTATAGGCACGACTATCTCGTTACGACTCCCCCTATACTATACCCTATTTAGACCTTGTATATTCCTCTAGGCATGCCTAAATACGTTATATACCGCCTAGCTGGTGGGTTGCCTATAGCACTCTTAGGTATTGACTTGGCCACCTCCACGCCTTGAGTCCCTTAGGAAAACACGCCTAGAATATTAAAACTCACCTAGAACTGGTCCCCAACCATCCCTCTTCTACGTACCTAGTTTGACTTATTCCTATGTCATAGTCCCTATACCTGCCTACCTACCCCCTTAGGTCTTATGTGCTTCTTTGCCTACTTGCCTACTCGTGTTGCCTGCTACAGCACGATGCCCTAGGCCGTGTAGGCCGAATTCCCACACTCTAGTTGTCTTTTGCTTCTACACTTCATCTCTATGGTTCCCTTCCCTTGCCTGCCCGATACCTATCTGCTTCTTACTTACCTGGTATGTTTACTCCCTACAAGTGCTAGGTTGCCTACCTATCCTCTTTTGTCTTTCATATACTGTATGTGCTTGTGCTTACTTACCAGGTACCTAGTATTCCCGTTTATTCATTGACTTGTGTTGTGCGGACAGACTAATTTTTCTGCCTACTTGCTCATCTTTGTCTGAAGAATTACCCTCTCTCATCTGTCCTCTCTCATCGTTGCTCTTACATCTGTTGCTCTTACATCTGTTGCTCTTACATCTGTTGCTCTTACATCTGTTGCTCTTACATCTGTGTATGTCTCGGCGCTACTCTACACGCAGTCACTCGCAACCATACTCACTCTCGAACAGTTGGCTGTGGTTCTACCTCTTCCCTCACAATCGAAGAACAGCTGGCCGTTGTTGGACCTCTGCCTCCATCCCATCCTCAGCAGCAGTCTCAACCTTTTCCTGTGCCTTGATCCTACTCTCGACAAACAGTTGACTGTTGGACCTCTGCCTCCATCTCATCCTCAGCAACAGTCTCAACCTCTTCCTGTTCCTTGATCCTACTCTCCAGCATATCGAGCAAGTTGATCTCGCCATCGGCTCTCACCATTCCATCCATACCAGTACCATAAACATTTGATTGTTTGGCAGCGTTACAGGCCATATCAAGACGGGGCCCAAGTGTTTGATCTTCTTCCCCGACAACATGTTCCCTAGTTGAAGCAGATGCTGACCGGATTTCCTCAGCTTGTCCTCGAGCATCTCAATATATGCCTTCAGTGCATCGTTCTCCACGACGACGGCCATCATCTCCGCTCGGACCTCTTGGTCTTGAAAGATCTTGTGCATGACAAGCCAATGCTTTGACAACCTCCTCGGTGACAAGAGACGAAGGGCGGCGGAGCGCAGCTTCATCGGATACTCCTCCACTGCCGTTCGACGTTGTGTGCTTCCGGCCATTTACGTCTCTCCTGTGCGGCATTGACCACCTCCTCGCTGACGAGAGACAAATGGCGCCGCAGCGCAGCTTCGTCGGATACTCTTCCGCTGCCGTTGGAACTGGCTGCATTGTGTGCTTCCTGCCCGTTACGTCTCCTCTGCGGCATTGAGGCAGTCTCCCTGCCTGGTATTTGGTGATTGTTCTCGCCTTCGAGTCTCTCCCTCGGTGCCTTTCGCTCATCCAGGCGTTTGCGGATGCGGGCATTCCTTCTTTGGGATTTCAGCCGTCGTTTGACTTCGGGTTCTTTTGCTAATGCTCGTCTTGTACAGTCTGCTCTCCATTGTCCCACCTCTCGCACACGGATTCAATACTCCCCTGCCGTCTGATGTCCCACTTCTCCTCGCACAAGGGTTCAATACTCCTCTGCCCTCTGTTGTCCCACCTCCTCACACGGATCCAATATTCATCTGCCACTAGACGTCAGCAGATCCTCGTCAAACATCGATTGTCATCGTCTTTGGCTCCAGGGGAGCCTTCACCTTGAAGAGAATGGGATAGGACACACATACCTCATCGTCATGCTCCTGGCGTGCTGCTGGTAGCCGTCCCCAGGTCTCCTGGTAGTCGCCCCGGGTCTCTCACCGTCCTCGTCATCATGCTCCTCTGGCGTGCTGCTCGTCGTCCCCAGGTCTCTTCTCTCTCCGTCCTCGTCGTTATGCTGCTCCGGCGTGCCACTCGTGGTTGTCTCCCGGTCTCCTCTCTCCGGCCTCGTCATCATGCTCCTCCGGCGTGCCTGTCGTAGTCGTCCCCAGGTCTCCCCCCCTCTCTGTGTGTGTGTCTCTCTCTCCGCCCTGGCCATCATACTCTTGTGGCGTGCCGGTCGTAGACGTCCCCAGGTTTCTTCTCTCTCTCTCTCTCTCTCTCTCTCTCTCTCTCTCTGTGTGTGTCCGTCTCTGCGTCTTGTAGCTCGTGATGCAGCTTTTGCTCAGCATCTGCCTCCTTGCGGCCCTCCATGCGGTGCTCCATACGGTGCTCCATGCGGTCCTGTTCCAGCGTTAGTCCATTGACCTTGTGATCTGTGATCTGCGGTGCCAACTCCGATGAGTTCCACTGGTGTAGCCCATGCTCAATGCCGCCCACAAATAGTCTGCGTCGAAAACCCAAGAAGACAGACCTGCTTAGAGACAGCCATCCTCGAGTGCCCAGACCCCATCGTTGCCTGCTTAGAGACAGCCCTCGACCGCCCAGACCTTATCGTCGTTGGTCCCAGATGCTGATCAGGTCAACCGTGGTCCTGAGCAGGCACTCGCCTACCCTTCGAAGGACGACGACTGGGGCTATGCCCAAGCAGCTGAAGCCGTTCCGTGAACAAGACGTCAAGATCCTCCTACGTGACTGCTGATCCGTTTGCTTTCCCTCAGATGAAGCCGTATCTCAATCGCAGTATGAAGCCGACAGTAGAAGACGCCCAGTTGGTCCCCCTAGCTAGTGGTGAGACTGTCGTCAGACCGCGTCGTTGTCGCTCCCAGATGCTGGGCAGGTCAACTGTCGTCCTGAGCATGCACTCCTGCGTGACTGCCGATCGTTTTGCTTTCCCCAGATGAGAGTCCCTGCGTGACTGTTGCCCTCAGATAAGAATGCCTGCGTGACTGCTGATCCTTTTGCTTTCCCTCAGATGATGTCGTAGCCGGGCAGGTTGGTGGCGGTCGCTGCGGGGACCGCAGAAGTCTTGGTGCATCCGCATTCGTGGTCCCAGTACGTGACTGCCCCAGCCTTCGTGTCATATGTCGGAGAGGAACGAGAGACAGCTAGCATTGTTATCGTTACGCTTCCCCGTCCTGACCAGCTAATGCCGCGTTGTCGGATACACGTATCTCAATGGCAGGCTGAAGCCGACAGAAGAAAACGCGTGGTTGGTACCCCTCCAATAGTGAGATTGTCCACCCAGACCACGTTGTCGTCGTCGTTGACCTTCACCACTGCGATGTGCCGGCAAAACCCGTCTCTTGCGAGATAGATACTACCTATGCGATAGCCCTCGTATCATGTGTCGGAGAGGAATGAGAGACAGCTAACATTGTCTTCGTTACGCTTCCACATCCTGACCGACCGTCTCGTCGTCGTTAACCTTCACCACTGCGCTTTGGCAGCGAATCCCGTCTCTTGCGCGATAGATACTACCTATCCGGTAGCCTTCTTACCATGTGTCGAAGAGGAATGAGACACCCAGCATTGCTATTAGATGGATGCATTTTTCTTCCTCGAACAATCGCCACTTCTTGCCCTCGGCCTGGGGCTCCTTTCTCGCCGCCGCAACAACGCTGGCGGGTGGAGGGAACGGGAGAAAAGAGCTGCTCTCTGGTGTGTGTCATCGTTACGCCTCCACGTCCTGACTAGCATTGTCATCGTTACTCTTCCACGCCCTGACCAGCCAAGGCAGCGCTGTCAGATGTACCCGTACACGGATGATTTCCCTGATTTCCTGATCGCATGATACCATCGCACTGCGCTGCCGCTGCCACTGCCACATCCCGTGAGATAGAGTGAAGCAATGCAATATCGCAGATGTGATTCACCGCCAACTACTCGTATCATGACAGCGTCCATCGTATGTATGTACGTGCCGTGCCGTGCCGTGTTCAATGCTTTGGCGGCCGGCATGGAGCATCTCCGACGACGAGCAGAGGCAGCACTGCTACCTAAACCTTTGGCAGCCGACATGGAGAACGGCAAGGATCCCGTCGGAACCAATCCTTAGGCCCTAAGGCCTTTGCAGTAGCAGTACTCCGTGCTGCCTTTGCTCGTCGTCGCGAACGCCTCTATGCTACATAGATGCTAGGAGTAAGAACGGACTGTCATGCATGCTACATCCTCCATCCTCCGAGGCAGACTTGGTATGCTCTTGCGGCCTGTCCTTCACCATCACCTCTCCCACTCGGTTACTTGGTCAGTGTCAGGCGGTTTCACTGGTGTGGTCTGTACAAACATGCTTCTTATCGAAGACCATTAGCTTGCCCGAAGACAACGATGCTGAAATGCACAGAACGCAATCTCATATTCTGCCGTGATATTGTTCTGACCTATATTCCTACCCATTCCATCCTGCAGTGTTGGTACATCCGCAGAAGCAGCTTGGACGTCCGGAGAACACTGCTTCTTTTCAATCGCACAACCACAGTTGTTTGCACAACCATATCGTTTGAACAACCATCCTCTCCCAACCATTCCGTGAAGCCTGGTACTGCTCAAACACAAAGATACATCCCATGTCCGGTTTTGCGTGCCTCATCAATCACGTTGGTCCTAGGCATTCATCATTTGGCATTATACTTGTCGTTGAAAGCATTCACAGCTAGAATCGGTCAGTCTTCTTTGCTCGTTTGACAGTCTATGTTGACTTACCAATGGCAATTTGTTTGTACAGCCAGTTCCGACTGCCTTCATCTGTGACGGGAATGAACGGCCCATTTGCTCCTCCCTTGAGTCCAATGCTGATACCTGTTCTCTCCTTGCTAATTGTTTGCACATCTGTCAACATGACGTCCCACTCCATGCGAAGCTTCTTGGTCCGAATCAAGAGCAGCCGGCCGTATGTTACGACGACCATCATATCTCGGCCTTCCAGCTCCAAGTGTGCAATGTAGTCCTCATTGAAGTACTTGCCATCATCCGAGGTCTTGAGCCAAAACTGTCCCAAGGCTTCGCGTTGGGAATACGGTCGAACAATGCCATCCATCCCGATAAACCGACTCAACCGCACACGGTCAAGACCCTCGGCATCAAAGACTGTGGTGGTGTTGCGCACCCCTTCGGCTACATTGGATGCCAGATCGAAAGCGCCAATTGCTGGCTTTGTAGCAAGACCAAGCATACCCTTCCCAACACCTTTGACGAACCCAAGGGCACCTTCTCTCTCTGCCCCTTCCAATGGGTGCCGTGCCAGCCCACCGATTCCGCTCGCCAGACTTGATGCGAAGGCATTTCCACCGGACGTAACGCCGTATAGGGCATGCTTGGGACGATTCCGGCTCTTCGACATGCGTCTCTGGTCCTGGAATTCCTTGTCCATCGTCGCTGCTGCGAGACCCTTGGACATGGAACCGGTGAACTTGGCCATGCTGTCGCTCAGCCCGAAGACCGATTTCTTGACGAAGCTACTAGCTCCTTTGGCGATACCAATTCCTAATTCCTGAGGCCGGTCCGTCATCACCAGCCCTTGATATGGTTCGTAGAAGATGTCGGCCACGCCCGAACTGACGCTATTGAAGAGCCCGACGGGATTGCCTAAGAAGTCTGCTGAACCCAGAATCATGTGAACTTGACGCAGCACCTCTTGAGTGTAGTGGTTTTGAATGTTTGACATGAGAGCCGGCACCGAGATCCTGGCGTTTTCCAGCATAAGCGCATTCAGCTTGATGGGAGCATCGTTGACGTTGCCGATCGACATGGTCATGACATTCACGAAGAACATCAACGGACTGTTCACGAAGGTGTCTTCGGCGTTGATGCGCTCGGTTCTGACAAACGACAAATCCAGCTGGATCGGTTGAAGATGGAGCAGCTCAAAGTAGACGTCCTGTCCTTGCTCCTCCCTGGTAGGTTCCGGTACATCTAGATCCTCGTCGCATAGCTTGCCTTCCTTCTCCTCCGCCCACGAGGCTCCAGGAACCTTCAAGAAGTCAAGCATGGCGAAAATGAAGTCTTCATCCAGCTCAACCGTGATCTGCTGAAGAAGGAGCGTCGCGTACTTGACATAGAGCACGCCATAAGAGTCGTCTTTGACGCGAGTAAGCATGGTATGGAAGATGGGATGTGCTTCCATTTCCTTGCCAGTCTTCGGGACCACGCTGGGATATAAGAGGATGGGGAAGATGCCACCGTACAGTTGATTGTCGATCTGAATCCACTTGATCGTGGAGCTGACCGTCTGATACAGTCTCGAATCCCCATACTTGAGCTCGATCTCGCGGAAGGTCAGATACATGAGTTCCTTGAGGTTGCTGTTGATGAGCGAGATGCCGATACCAGCAAAGTGCAGTTCAGCCTTGAAGCTGACCTCAGATTCGATTTGCTTGACCTCGAAACCTTGGTTGACACTGGTTTGTGAAGCTGTGCTCTGCCCCGTCTTCTGCTTGTACAAGGATCTTGAAGGCTTGTAGTTGGACAGCACCAGTGTTTGCGTCGGGCCATCTGCGACAATGTTGACATCAATGACTTTCGCAGGCCCTCCAGGTTGGTCCGACGGCAACTTGATGGGGATCAAGTTGCCGATCTCCACTAACTTCACATATCGTTCTCTTCCACGAGCGGTGAGGACCAGTTCTTTGTTCTTGGAAGCAGGGTAGTCCCAAGCATAAGGCATGATACTCCGGGGTGGGAGTTTATACCGAATGGGCTTCCATCCACTACCCTTGTCTTCTTCTTCCTCTTCATCTTCCGCGATGTTTGGATTCGCTTGGAAGAACAAGAATTCGGTATCGCTTTCGTTGCGCATGGAAAAGGGCCAGTGTTTGGTCTCAATACTGAAATGCAAGAACAATGTCGCATCTTCGAGGATGATTTCGACCCGGACGAGCCTCTGTCTCTGGCCGTGTTTGGCAAGCTTGACATGTGTCATGCCAACGTTCGAGAGGTTGAATGGCGCCGACCAGTGGTTGTTAACACCTGGAAAGCACAAACACAATTGCTTCTCCGGGCATTGTCGCATGAAATAGATGGGCAGGAGCTCATTGTTCTTCACTCTCATCACCTCCGAAGATCCAGGTTCGCGCAACTCCAAATCTTCTCCGATCTTGTTCTTGAGCACAAAGCGTGGTGCCACGGTGATGACTTTCGTCAAACTGTACTTGCCCTCGCCCTCTGCCACGGATACGCCGACGTGGAGCTCTGATTTGGTGGACGAAGATGGCAAAACAACTTCGTAGGCACTACCGATCGCGTCGAAAGTCTGCGGCTTGCTCCATGTGGAATCGCCAATCTTCAGGAGAGATCGGTTTCTCCGGTCATCGGTGGCATAAGAATACAGCAATGGAAGAGCTTTGCCCTTGTCCGAGCTCATCTTTGCACCATGCGACGACACGGTTCTCGAAGAACCAAAGAGCACCTTGTTTTGCACCATCATGTCGAGTCCAGTCTTGTTGAGAACAAGGTAGGGGCTGTAGACGGACACCCTAAATGCACCTCCGCTGTCCTTGATGTTGGTATAGTGCAGCTTCAGCTTGAGATGCGCACCATTCTCGTCCTTCAGCTGTAAGGTTTTCTCGCGACGGAAGTCTTCTTGAGTGTCACTGTTAATGATCGCAAAATCACTCTGCTTGAAAGGATTGTCCTCCATCTCGACGCTGAGCAGAAGCAAATGTGAAAGTTCCACAACGTGGACGGGACTCACTCCCCCCTTGCGCAGAAAGTTTGTCCAGTCTTTCTTCGTGTTCCTGTCGTAGATCCTGTACTTGAAGTCGTAGGGTAGGAGATTCTGGACCTCGACCGGTGCCGATATCTGGATTCTCATGTAGGGATACTTCTTTGTGATGGGGTCCCTGGGGTCGTAAGATGCGTGCATCTGAAAGAAGAACGGAGGTGATCCATCGCCGCCATCGGACTGACAGGTCAGAGCTCTGGTGGACCTCTTGAGAAGATCTCTCCAGAGAAGGTGTTCGTTCGACCAACCATAACCGAAGCCTTGATCTGGACGGACCAAGAGCGCATGCACGTACGCCGCTCCAACTGGTGCAGGCTTTCCCTCGCCTGGGCGGATCTTCTCAATTTTGAGGAGGTTGCCGTCTTCCGGAGAGTAGACACCGACCTCGATGGGGATCTGGGTTTTGTTCTCCACGAGCAGCGGTGAGCGAAACGTGATGTACTTGACATTGTCGGCTCCCAGTCTCACTTCGACGAGCATCCGATGCTGCACATTCTCTTTTCGAGGCTTTAGATTGTACAGTGTTTCCCCTTCCCGTATGACGGGGATGCGGCCGATGCTATCGAAACCACTACCCTCGAGTTTGACACCCACCGACCCAGCATTACCTTCGGGTGACAGGCTCTGACGCATTGATTCTGCGTCCTCGAAACGCCATGGATATTCTTCTCCATCCTTGAGCTTGGCTGCAGCAGCATTGTCGCTCTTCTCGTCTGCCCAGACACTGAGATCGAAGCCGGTGTAGTTGCGGATGCGATATGGCGCGTCGGCCACCCGTGGCTTCGAGAGGATGTCCTCGTCCGTGGAGAGGAAGTCGAATGACTTGGAGGCGAGTGCTATGGTTGCCGACGTTACGGTAAGTTCCATTGTCTTGTGAGAATACAATTCGACAGACATCACTTCGGGTTGCAGTTGCTTGGACACATGAAAGCCCAGCTTCCAGGGCTCGATGAGAGGTTCCCATGCCGACTTGGAGAAGTTGTACACATTGATGAAGGTGTCCAACTTGGTGTCAGCTGTCAGGGCGCCGGACCAGTCACGAACATCGACGTCAAACTTCTTCACACTCCAGTCAAGGAGAGGAAGTTCATGAAGATCTCCGATCAAGACCACTCGCACACCGCCGAACTGCGCACTTAGTTCTTCTCTGCTCATGACGACCGATTTCTTCGGAGACTGCTTCGGCTCAGCCTTCGAGATGGACTTTGATCTCTTAGACCTTCTCGCGGTCGTGGTTGTCCTGCCCGCTATCGACTTGCGTCTCGTGGATGGAGCCTTGGAGGATGCTTTCATTTCCTTGAGCTTGCTTGGCTCAGAGTGTTCTTGTATCTTGGGCTGAGGCATTGTTGCTGACGCCTTGCCGACGATCTGCATCGCAAGCAGAATATCGCGCAAGGACAAACGCAGCACAAGTGGTTCCACATCGACATGAATGGACGTGAGAGAAGAGTCTCTGCCCAGAGTACGCCTGTCCATGGACATCTGAACGCTGAAATCATCCAAAATTCTCAGGCGGCTGGTCTCGAACTTATCCATTCGACACAAGAACATCCCGACCTTTGACACCTGCAAAGTTGTAGCATTTTGCTGGGACACAAGGATTTCCTTGGTCCCCAGTACAATGGCTTCAGTGTTGGAGATGGCCGGATTGGCGATGAGGATAACTTGGGCATCTACTATGTTGACCCGGAATGAAACACTCATCGAAGAATCCGTCTGTGGTTCGTCTGTCGTCGGTGTGGCTGTGGGAGAGTTCTCAGCTTCTGGTGTGCTCTGCTCGCTATCCGCGGACAAATCTTCCACTTCTGCGATCTGTGGAGATTCATCGGACTGCAACGCGGTGTTGGCAAATGTTTGCAGAGCGAAGACATAGTCCAGAGCAACAATTATGCGTGGACTATCGAGGGTGAGCATGACAATCATGTGTCTTTCAGCACCTCCCGACATCGACACGCTAGCCATGAACTGTTGTTGGACATCGGTATTGATCAATGACATGATCTTGCGGAATTTGTTGGACTCATTGGAGCGACTGTCCCGGATCGTGAACGAATGGATGAGAAGTTCGGCCTCTAATGCACCGTCGCTGACCATCCGTACTTTGACATCCGTCTCATTCATCGAGAATTTGGAGATGCTGGCGGCCTCCAAGTTTTCAATCGGCTCGTCGTCCGGTGCGAGGACGAGTTCCATACCGATCATTGGGGCTTTGAACACAAAGTTCAACTTGGTCCAAACCTCGTCGCCAGAACCAAGCTCTGGGCCTTGGAATGATGGAGCTAGATCCTTTGAGACCGTATCCTCTGATTGAACAGCCTTAGCAGGCTCTGTTGTCGAATCCGGCAATTCGTTGGCAATCTCCTCCTCAGATTCTTCTTCCGGCGTGAACGCAGCGGGGATACTCTTGGAGAGCTCCAAGAGGAACTTGAACTGCGTCTGCGAGGCTCTCAGATTGATGGGAGACATCTTACCATCGATTTCGAGGTCTGGTCTCTCGAGACCTGCTTGGTGTTCCAGGTACCGAACTTTGAAATCCAGGTCCACTCCATCGATCATTTCGAGCTCTTGAGACATTCCATTGTCGTAGTGGAACTCTGTTGTCAAACGGACGTGTCTGATGCCCGCTGATAGCTTATTGACAAGAGGTCCGCCCTTTTGTCCTTGCACTCCGACAAATCTGTTCTTTGCATAGATCTCACCGAGATAGGCCGTCAGAAGGTCCCGGGGACGGTCATCGATCATTGCCCGCGGGAAGACAACAATTGGAGTCTTGATTACCACATCAATGTGCATTTTCTGTGCACTTTGCTGAACTTGAGTGGCTTGGTTAGCGGCAGCTTGTCGGGCAGCATTGAAGATAGCCTGCATCTTGCCAAATTTGACACCGAACTCCATGATCTTTCGGAACGGTTCTTCCATGAAGTTGACTTTGATAGAGCCAGAACGGAGATAGATCCCAGAGTCATACCCTGGGTAGTCACTTCGAGAGGAATCGTACGTCTGATACTTGAAATCTGCCAGGTCATCTCCTTCGATTGCGACAAGTCGGCGCAGAGACGAGTCCTCAGGTGCTCCTTGGTTGATATCATCGACCAGAGATAGGCTGCCCAGTCTTGTTTTGACCTGCATGGTACCGGCATCAAGAAAGATTCCGACATCGCCAGAATTCAAAGAAAGTGTCGCGAGCCGCACCCCATCGTTGTTCAGGATGAGTGCAATGCTGGTCAATTGAGCCTTGATCCTGATTTTCTCCGCCTGTGGTGGGTCTTGTGGATTCTCAACCAGATCTTCTGCTTCTGGCTCGTTTCTCTTCTCTTCCACCGAACCGGGTTGCTCTTGGCCGGATCCAGCAAATGTGCTAAGCACAAAGTCCAGCAGTGTCAGAAGCGTCCGTCTCGTTACAATAACATTGATCGTGGACATCGAGACGTCGAGGTTGGTGGCAATGCCCTCATAAGTGGACTTGAACTCTGGAGACTCGGGCTTGACCTTGACGAATTTGATATTGAACAAGTCCTTGCCCTCCTCCGCTTTGAAGCCTTTGGAAGAAATGATCTGCTTGAACTCTGGGATCGGATCCTCTTCAATATGGTCGTCGACGGTTAAAGCCCGGAGGAGCACCTCTGCCACCATGTCGTATGGGCGGAGGTAGAAACTAAAGAAGAAATGTTCTGCGACCAGTTCCACCAACAACTGGTCCGGCTTTTCACCGTCCGGATCTGCCTTGTAAAGAGAAGCCTGCAGTTTTTCCACAGTGAAATTGATTTCGAAATTGCGCTGATGGATATTCGCCGGTGTTTCGGGCTTGTCAACTGGCTTGGACACTGCATCTTCGGAATCCGAGTCAGGCTCGAGAATCGGCGCATTTCTGACCTCCAGCAGCTGCACTGATTTTCTTTTCGCTTTAGGATCGTCAACAGGTTTTCGTAGCTTCGGATCATCTACGCTGCCGGTTGGTTTGGGATCCTCGCTCTCGAACTTTGGAACCGCCACGTCCAGTAACCTCATCAGATTCTTGTACTTCTGGTCGGAAATGGAAACGTTCAGAACCGGCATCGTGCCAGAGATGCGTATCTTTGTGATATCTGTAGCCTTGGGGACGATGGAATTCTCCAGCAGGAAGGCCATGTTGATCCGATCGATGATGTGCATGTTTTTGGACTGGTCCGGGTGTTCCAATTGCGCCCGTGTTGCCTGGATGCCGGGTCCAATGAGGACTTGCGTGGAATCCAGCTGGAGATGAAACTTGTCGTACATCAGTGCTTCCAACTGTTTGATATCCTTCTCGGTGTATTGCTGCTTCTGCTTGGCGTGGATGTCCCGCATTGTCTCCTTGTCGACCAGTTCGCTGTTAAGACTCACGTGTCCAGCATCCACGATCATGCAAAGAGTGCTCTCTTTCGTGATGCTCTCTGGAATGATGAAAATAGGAGCCTGGATGTCGAGATTTGCGTTGATGGTCTTGTGTTCCTCCAGGGCAAATTCAAGTCCGGCTCGTGTCTGTTGGCGAATTTCCTCGACGGTGGCTCCAGCAGTCTCCAGCAGCGCGCCGATCGATTCCATCTGACGCTCTGGCGGCTTGAAGAATTTGGCTATCTCCACCACGAACCGAGGGTTGTGGATGAGTTCGAGACTCCTCACCTTCAACATGATCTTGGTGTCTGCACTTTCGTCTAGGGGGTTGTTCTCGAAGATCAAATGGAAAAGACTGTCTTCTGTGCCATGGAGTTTGGATTGATCCTCGCCCGAGTCGCTTGTGCTCTCCAGGCCGTTCTCACCTTGGTCCTCAGGCAGATCATCTTTGGGCTGCTCCTCCATACCCTTGACCTTGACAATTTGCGGGAACAAGGTACCCTCGGTCGTACCATCGTACATACGAAAGCCGCCGAGGGACAAGTCAACCAACATGGAGTCCGGGCGTTGCAGGGCCTTTGCGCTGAAGTTATCAAAGACGAGCCGGAGGATCTCATTTTCTTTTCCGTGAGGATCTCGTTTCAATGTGAAACTGCCTGTTCTCAGACTCGACTCCAGCTGTAACTTGACGGTTTCTCGCGGCAAGCTGACACTGTCGGCGATGGCCTTTTTTTCATCCCAGTCAATGGCATTGTACAGCTCCTTAAGCTGTTCCTCAGTCATTCCTGCCTGGTCATCGCCCTGGGTATCTGCCGGCTTGGAACCCCAGACCCAAGCGGACCATGTTTGCTTTTGTGGCGCTTTCTTGACCCCGATGTTCTCCTTCCTCAACTGACTGCGAGCAAGCGACCTCCAGAACCGCAAGTCCTCGTAACTTGATGTGTACTCGATATCATTCAAATTCTTCGTCTCCTCGTCTGTCAATTTTTCTTCCCTCTTCTTCTTTTTAAAGAGATCGATGTATTTGAGCCTCGTGTCTCTGCGTTCTTTGAAATAATCCCAGGTCCATTTGCGATTGCGGTCGTGAATTCTGTTCAGAACCGAAGATCCAGCAAATTTGAGCCATGCTCTGGGATCCTCCTTGGGACTTGCTTCAGGCTGGTCCTTTTTGAACTCGTGATGGCGGACGAAATAATGCATGAGATCGACAAGCATCAAGGCATCGCGATACTGGTCTTCATCGAGGATAAAACCGAGCTCTTGGAACAAAAGACGAGCTTTTATTTTCGGTCGGTCGATTTTCCCACTTTTGTCCATTTCGATTCCAGCACGTCCGCTGACTGGCTTCAGGAGGTATTGTGAGTTCCCTGTGTCTTCTATGCCATCCTTGAATTTTTGGATCAGCTCGTCTTTGTCGATCTCCTGTGCATCTGCACCGACTTGTCCACCTTTGCCGGTCCCAAATAGGTCGGCGTCACTGTTCCAGTACAGGGCCAGGGAGTTCAGCACGGCGAGCTTGTGAGTGGTTCCGGATGAGGATTGGATGAAAGTTGGACGCCATTCCGAATCAGTACTCACAGCACTCATCTCCTTCAAGGTGAGACCCACGGCGAAGGGGTGACCCGGGGTGGCAATTGAATCTTCATACCGGATGTGAACATTTTTGATGCTGACTTGGAGATTGTCGACGATGGCCGTGGCCAAGCTCTGGGTGAAAGATTGGTTCTTTTGCTGCTCCTCAGGGCTCATGGCCTCGGTGTTGCGGTCCTTCAACAACTCGGCGCTCTCGAGTTTCTCTAGCTTGACAGCCACCGCCCGCTTTTCTTCCTCTTCCGCATCATAATCGTCCTCCTGCTTGGGCGCCGAGAGGAGGAAGACATCCTCGATGTTGACTTTGACAGGTTTTCCTCTGAGGTTGGACCAGGGTATTGAGAGGGTCAACTCTCCTAGCCGACCTTCCACGACATTGATCGGCAAATGTAGTTGATCAAGAGCCTCTCGCCGGAGCTCAAGATTTCGGAGCTTGACGTCACCGGACCAGATACCGACATTCAGCTGCTTGGGGTCGAAGTTCTTGACATACATGCCCAGAAAGCGATTGAGCAGGTTGGCGACCAGTCCTTCCAACATCTTGGCTAGTATTGGCCGTCACCCAGGCGGGGTAAGTTTTGACTATCACGACTGTCCGAACATGGGGATTGCAGAATTGAGAGAACCAATGCGCTCAGCAGAACTGAGCTAGCTATTGACGGTGAAAGAAAGGAAAAGAAGAGCACAAGCTTGGACCAGGGCAATGCCGCACTGCCCCTATCTGTGACAGGGGAGAGGGGAAGAAGGGAGCTGCGGTCGGAGCTGCACAAGTTGCGGAGCGGGCGGGAGCGACAGCGAGATAGGAATCTGCTGTGCCTCGGCGAAGAAGTCAAAGTCAAAGCGCTATGCCAAAGGCTGATCTCAACGGCCGATATCAATTGAAGGTGATATCTGGCAAGATGATGAGGAGAGTATGAGGTCAAAGTCTGCCTAACCTATCGAATTACGTCACCTTGACCAGCTTGTAGCGCTACCACGTGACAAGTTTCTCCCAATTCCAGTGCCAAGTCGGCCAACTTTCCTCACTTTTGACGGGTTCCAAAGCATGCGCACCACGTGCCGAGGTTTTCGCGACGCGCTGTTGTCGTGTCAATGCCGCGCCGCGACTACTATGACCAGCTTGTATCACGACCACGTGATAAGTATTTGACCACGTGACATGATGTTGGCAAGTCGGCCAACCTTCCTCACTTTTGACAGATCACAGCATCCCGTTTGTGATTGTCCGTGTTGTAGCTTTGTTTGTTCCTAACAGGTAGATACAAGACACAAGGACCTCCAGCTGAAAAAGACTCCGTGGTCATCTCTCTCTAATGGGGAAGGTCTAGCGATTCGCCTAGCTCTTAATCGCCCTGCTTCAAACGACCCCGCCTCTCCATCTTATTGCACGAGCACAAAAGACTTTGTGTCATATCTGCGAGGTAGATATTGTGCAGTATCCTCTCCTCGAATTTGGTCACATGATGCTGTCGCAGCATTCATTTCGACGAGATCACAACGGAGATTGTTACGAGACTCATGGCTCTACGACGCTGGCTTCGGGACACCTTCCTTGATGGCAAGAGTAGGGTCCGTAACCGCTCCCTGACACGCAGTCGAGTTTGAAGTGAGATACACAGGCTTCTTCAAGTCCTATCGCCCAACAACTTCTCCGAATCGAGAACCAACAACCTGCCGCTGAACTTGAAGGTGCAAGACCTCACGTGGTAAACATGTCAAACATGCCAACGCGATGTTTGCTGCAGTGGTTCATCGCCACCTGCGGCCCCTGACATGAAGCAGGCCTCTTTTTCACTCCGTTGCGCATGATAGCTTCCGTTGTGCAACGATCATGGACATGGTCATTGCTCGCAGTTCCTCCCGACTTCCAGGCATGAACACCATGTATCCCAATGCTGTTATTGCCATTGCCATTGCGAATCCATCCCAGTCATTGTTTCAACGTTCCTAGACCCTAAAAGCTTACGCAGGATGACAAGCGCTGTCGACCCTACGAGCACCGCGGTGCGATCGTGATACATCTGTCCCACATGGCGCACATTCCTCTCTGCCCCATTCGAAAAATCCCTCGAGCGCTCGTTACCGCCGACGCGGATCATGGTGTCCGTCCCGGCATCCTTCCTCTCGCTGCTCCATTCCCAGGGCGCTGAACGATCAGATATGATTTGAAATATTACAATTCCTTGCTGCCGGGGAAGCAGGAAGTCTGTGGGATTGATGAAATAGCGTTCTGGAAGAACTCCAAGAGAGTGATATATACGAAGTTGAACGAGAGCACATCACCGTCTCGGCTCGCATCCCAACAGTGCGAAGTTTATTGGCAACCCGAGAAGATGTTTCTCCGTCCTCACATGAGGCGAAGTCCTTCGGACAACCTGTCGATCTCCCGCCGCAAGTGGAATCACAATTAAGACGAAGGATAACAAGCCAAGGCAAGCTGCAAAAAGCTACGAGCATTTATATAATTGTGTCGGATGTCACAATACGCCGCGCACGAGAAGATCCTCATCCACACCGCTCTCCTTATCTCTGCCATCTTTCCCCCTGCCGTGGTTCTGCTGTACACTCTCTTCATCGACGGCTTCTTCTCCCATCACCGTCGCTCCACGCTCGCTCGGTCCAAATACAGCAGCCGTCCGAAGAGATGTCAGTGACACTAACCACCTTCAGCCAGACCTGCTTGTTACTCTGAGAAAATGTCAAGTTATTGTCGACCCTCAGGGTCCCACACTGTCGTCTCGGATCCCCGCGCGATAACGACCGGCAAGGGATGATAGTTGTGGCCCATATTCATGCCCGGTGTGGATGGCTTCACTAGATGATGAGACATGACACCACTATCGAAGCAAGTCAGATTCGCGTGCCCTCTTGTTCTCCCCAATAGCACGAATGTCTGGCAACACATGGGAGCTGAAGAGCCTCCTCTAGTACTTGTTCAATGACAGCACGGGCACTGCACGAATCCCCTTGGTCAAGGTCGTTGGCGATTGTCACAAGGTCTGTGTGGCCGGGGGACGTTCGAGGCGATGTTCAAACCCGAATTCGCACTTACCTTTTTGCGAAGCGGTCTCCGCTGACAGTCTGGCGGTCCGGTTCAGAAGCCTCTCTTTCTCTTCATCACCAACCATCATCCATGGCGGTCTGCTGTTTGCTGCAATTTCCTACGCATATCTTTCTGTCGTTGACCGCGTTGACGATCTGGCGTATAGTGCTTGGTTCACTCGGGTATGGACTCTGCAGGAGCTGATAGTATGTCACTCCCATACACACCGCAGGTCCCTCTGATCCGATTTGTCCGATGGGCACCGGACCCGATCGATCACTGCTTGCTCCCTTCCGCTTCTACAACCCGACAAAGGCCTACTGCGCCAGTTCCGTTCACCGCCTTGATTCGATCCTTGGCCTCGTCCTGCAGGATAGCGGTGTCATATAGTGACAATGCGGGAAAAGACAAGCACGAGAATGCAATGGGCTAATCGACGAGAGCGGAACGTGAAACAGATTTATACCGCCAGCGTGTGTCTTCCGACAGAGCCCTGTTGGGGAATGCAGAGTATATTCAGGTTGGCCACGCGGGCCGTCTAGCACCTCGGTGGCTTGAAAGTTGACATCCGCAAACAGGTATGCGTCCAGCAGCTATGGTTCCTTGATCCGGCCGCAGATCGACGAGCTGGAAAGAAAGGTTGTACCTGCCCACCGGAACAAGCTGGCTCTCGTCACAGTGCACAGGCGCATATTCCACTCTCTCAAAAGCCCATCTGATCCCGTCTCCATCCACTCAACCGCGCTGCCGAAGTGGAAGGTGATTTTGATCTCCCTTAGCTTGCTTCCTTCCAAGCCATCTCCCTTGTCGTCGACATCAAAGCGGAATACATCCTCCTCGTGGGAGCTTGCAGCCGCCTGGTCCTCCCTTCTTCGTCTAGTGCTACACCTATGACGCGACTGAAGAACCTGCTGCCACTGAGGAACCAGCTCCCGCCGCTGATACTCCTGCTGAAGAACGCGCCGCTGCTGAGAAACCAGATCCCACTGAAGAACCTGCTGCAGCCGAGGAAGCGGCCGCGACTGAAGAGCCCGCTCCTGCTGAAGAGACCCCCGCCGCTGATGCTGCTGAAGAACCGGCCGCGACTGAAGAGCCTCCCGCCACTGATGCTCCTGCCGAAGAACCGGCCGCGACTGAAGAGCCTCCTGCCGCTGATGCTCCTGCCGAAGAACCGGCCGCTGCTGAAGAACCAGCTCCTACTGAGGATCCGGCCGCGACTGAAGAACCTGCTGCCGCTGAAGAACCTGCTCCCGCCGCTGAAGAACCGGCCGCGACAGAAGAACCTGCTACGGCGGAAGAACTAGCTCCTACTGAGGAACCGGCCCTTGACAGCCAGATACGGAGTTGGTGTCAGGGTCGGGGTCGGTGTTGGTCTTATGTCGTGCTCGCGACAGGAAATATCACTACGCCGGGACAAGAATCATCCCTGCCCCTCCAGCTCCAGCTCCACCATTATCAGAGTAGAGCATCCTTTCGCCTTTTCGCAACGCTGAATCCGAACCCAAACCCACTTCCACCAGGCAACTGCCGATGCAAAAATATGGGCGCTGCCCTCCCAACTTGAAGTGCGATGGTATCACAAAGACCAAAGTACCCTGTCACTATCGTGCTTCCTACCGGGGGTGGCAAGTCTCTTCTGGCCATGCTGCCTGTTGTGCTCGAGACCGATGGGATCTCCATCTTCATCGCTCTATTCCGTGCGCTCGTGGACGACATGGTCCAACGCTTCGTCGCTGCGGGCGTCAACTGTCGAGAATGGAAGGCTACCGACGCCGTTCCCGCTCGTCTTCTCGTTGTCAATGCTGATATTGTCACCGACCTGGGTTTGTCACGGCGACACGAGGCTGGAGCAAGGGGGGGCAACTTCGTCGTGTCTTTGTTGACGAGTGCCATACCGTGTTCATGGACAGCCACTGGCGTCCGCAACTTGCCACCCGAGGGGCTCCCGGACTCGATCCAAAGCATGAAATGAGTCGCATCTATGCTAGATTGCTGGCTTCGATTCGATAGCAGCGAGGCTTGCTCGAGCTTAATAGCTCTGGTCTTGTGCAATTGCGGGCTGTGAACCAAGTTGGTCGAGGGAAAAGATAGCGGAAGAGGTGGAATGAAAGACGGCGGGTAGCAGAGGAGTCAAGAAAGATCCGGGGGTGGGGGAGGAAAGTTACGCAGCGTGTGCAGCTAAACAAGTAGCAGTGGTGGTGGTGGTGATGGTGGTGGTAGGAGGAGGACATGAGCAGTTGGCCAGTTTGCAATTTGGCAGCAGGAGGAGCAGAAGCCTGAAAGTGGCTTTAACATCTCTGTTCCATTGAGGCAAATGCCGGTGGACAGAAGAACCGCAGCGACAGCGATGGGAGCCACATACCACATAGCGAAAAGGCTCGCACAGAAGAAAGAGCCATGTCAAGACACGAGAAACAACAAAGCTGTTGATGTATCCTTGACAAATGACTGGTAGTTGATCTATCCTAGGGAGGGACAGTGCCAGAACAAGACGGCGCCACGTACTTCACATTGAGACACCGACACTGACGCTGACACCGGCGGACCTGAAGTGCGGTGACATGTGACGGCACACGAAGAGGATGGTCGGGTTGCGCTTTTTGGCAAACACAACTCCATGTGAGGCACCTTGGAGAGTTGTACAGTGGCTGGCCTGAGACGGGAAATATAGGGCAAGCTCCATGTCCGCGGTGGCAGCAAGATGTTTCGATTCCAGAATGGCAAGATCGAATCGAATCCCCTCTTCCTCCAGCGCAAGAACCCACATTCGATACGGAGTACCTTGCTGGCGGGCGATCAGGGCTGAAGATGAAAGACGAGAGGCTAGCTGTACGTGTTGGAGTTTCCTGGGCGGCCAGGTGCATTGTTCAAGTTCCTCCGCTCCGGACTCTTCGTCCCGGCCAGAACATGTCATTGTGTTGAGGGGAATTCTGGCACTTGAATATATTACCTGCCGAGCATAAGACTGTGTGGTCGCGAAGAGATGTGGTCGCAAAGAGATGTGGTGGTCATGTTGGTGTTCAAATCCGGTGAAATTGGTCGAGGTGGTCGGACAGAGTGTGAAGGTGCTCGCCACTGCTCAAGGCGGGGAATTTCCCTTTACTTGTCATGCTGCACTGCCGCGATGAGTTGACTAGGTCAAAATGGGGATTGGGATGGGCTGGATGGGCTAAGAGTAATCCGAAATTGGAGCGAAGATGATGGCTGTTTGTTCTGATGGTAGATTTCAGAAAGTGTGTTCTGTACGGAGTACTTGGGAGTGGTGAAGTACTACCGAGTACAGCGTAACAAGACAGACCAGACCTGGATTATCCTTTCCGGGGCCAGACGATGGCGCGTGAATTCTCAATAGTCAACCAGAATCGGCGAACCTTAGCTGGACCGCCGAAACCGATGCAGACACGTACAGGAGGCAGCGGAGACAGAGACAGAGACAGAGATGGGGGAATCCGATCACATCTAAAGAAAGGCAGTTACTAGGTAAGGTAGATCCAGCTGCTCGAGAGCTTGCGCCATGCCGACGCCGACGCCGACGCCAATGACAATGCCAGTGTAGTTCATTGTCGCGCATCGAGAGTAAAACGGAACAGGAAGAGGTGGAGGAAGACGTGTTCTGGCGAGCATGCATGCATTGCTAATGGAATGGAACGAGTAGACTTCCCATTCCAAGTAAACAATGACGCAACCATGCAGCGGGCAATGTTGTCCAAGGTCAGACATGCGAGCAGGTAGCAGTCGCATCGTTTAACCTAGAATCATCATGATCGAATTCAATGGGCGGTGATATCGCGCATGTCGGGATGAATGTCCTTGGACGGCCTCTCTACGGAGTACTCTTCCCATCCTTCTCCAAGAACATATTCGCACTCCGAGCACCAAGTTTGTGATCCCGACCCCAATTCCCAGTGCCGAATCTGTCTTGCTCCCGCTTGTGCATGCTTTTCTGCGTCGGCGATGGTGCCCACGGCCTTGATCAATTTGCTGCAGTTGTTGTAGACCAACGCTTTAAGTTGGCAAACTTGGTGCTCGGAGTGCACGCGACAAAGTGTCGGAAATGTTCCGTTCTCCCGCTCAAGAAATAACAACCAGAGGTGCCGCCGGCCAAGTTTCCCCATGAGCTCCCACAGAACTCACTCCTCTCGGCTGACTTTCCCCATATTCGGATTCGCAGCCGCGCTGCTTGCTGTTGTCGTGTCAAGCAAGACAGACCGCACCTGCGCACCTGCGACTCATGTCCTACAGAGCGTCCATCTTTCAGGCTCGCGCTCCTGATTAGATTGGCCAAGCATACCTCGGCTCAGCTCGGCTCAGCCTTGGCCTTGCATGTGGCGACCGGAGATCTCGTGGCGACCGTTAGCCTTCTACCATGTCGCCGCGCCGCCCCAGTTAGCCAGGCATGGTTCGAATCACCACCTGGAATGTCAACGGCATTCGCAATCCCTTTGGCTACCAGCCATGGAGAGACAAGAGGACTTTCGAGGCCATGTTTGACACTCTCGAGGCCGACATCGTCGTGTTCCAAGAAACAAAGATCCAGAGGAAAGACCTTCGAGATGATATGGTTCTGGTACCTGGATGGGACAACTACTGGAGTCTCCCCAAGCACAAGAAAGGTAGGAATGAGGTCAATCCCATGTCAGGGCGGTCTGACCATGACAGGATACTCGGGCGTCGTCGTCTACACTCGAAATGCCACCTGCGCCCCCATCAAGGCTGAAGAAGGCATCACCGGTATCCTGACGCCTCCAAACTCCAGCACCAGTTTTCGAGACCTGCCAGTCGAAGAACAAATTGGCGGATATCCAAGCTTCGAGCAATTGTCAACATCTGATTACGATCCTGCGACCCTCGACGCCGAAGGTCGATGTGTCATCCTCGAATTTCCCGCCTTCGTCCTCATCGGTACTTACTGTCCTGCGGAGCGAGATGAGACTCGAACCCACTATCGCACGAGTTTCCTCAACGTCCTCGATGCCAGAATCCGGAACCTGGTCAAGATGGGAAAGAGGGTGGTATGGACAGGGGACATGAACATATCGCGAGAACAGATTGACACAGCCGCCGCTGAGGACAGCATGAGAAAAAACGGCGTTGACGCTGCAGAATGGATATCGACTCCGGCGAGGCGGATGCTGAATCAGTTGCTCGTCGGCGGCCAGGTCTTTGGCGAAAGAGACCACGGAAGAGAGACACCAGTCATGTGGGACGTGTGCCGCGCATTCCATGAAGGTCGCAGAGGGATGTACACGTGTTGGGAGACCAAAGTCAATGCGAGGCCTGGCAACTATGGCGCCAGGATTGACTACATCATCTGCAGCCATGACATGAAGGAGTGGTGGAGTGATTCCAACATCCAAGAAGGTCTCTTGGGCTCGGATCACTGTCCAGTGTATGCTGTGCTGAAAGACAAAGTCATGGTGGATGGGAAAGAGGCGCACATGCTAGACCTGCTCAATCCGCCTGGCATGTTTGAGAATGGCGTGCGCCAACAACCATGGTCGACCAAATGCTTGCTGGCCTTGTCGGGGAAATTGATTCCAGAGTTTGACAAGAGACAAAGCATTCGCGATATGTTCACGAGAAAGCCGACCCTGCCAAAGTCAAGAAGCACGATCGATGACGATGCGGACAAGCAGGTGGGAACGTCGCAATCATCACTCACTGCAACAGCTGTTGAGTCAGCGACAACATCAGCTGAGACCGACGACCGTGCTGCTTCGTCGCGATTGTCGTCGATCCCATTACCATCGAAACCAACCAACGGCAAACGCACTGCAAAGGCGATCGAGAACCTTCCCTCGACGAAACGCAGCAAGTCAGCATCGCAGTCAACGTCAATCACCGTCGGCAAAGGCCAGCAAAGCCTAAAGGGATTCTTCTCGGCGAAAGCCCCTTCGAGTAAGATCAAGGAAGAACCACAGGTGAAATCCACGGAAGCACAGCACGCCATTCATCCGGCACCCACCGTTTCGATGGAAGACTCGCCCGATGCATACAGGTCAAGACCAAGCTCCACGGCAATGGCAGACGACGACAGTACCAGGACGGGAATGGGAGCTGTCGACAGTACCAGGACGAGAATAGGAGCTATCGACAGTACCAGGACGGAAATGGCAGCAGTCGACAGTACCAAGACGGCAATGGCGGACGACGACAGGACCAAGACGGAATCGGCAGCTGTCGACAGTACCAAGACGGAAACGGCAGCTGATGGCGTGGAAGCCGGGGATATCATCTCGCCCGCCAAAACAAAACAATCGTGGGGAAAGCTGTTCTCCAGGCCGGTCGCTCCCAAGTGCGAACACGATGAACCGTGCAAGATCATGGTGACCAAGAAGGCCGGCGTGAATTGTGGCCGGTCATTCTGGATGTGCAATCGACCACTGGGACCGAGCGGGAAACAGGAGAAAGGGACGCAGTGGAGGTGTAACATGTTCATATGGGCTAGCGATTGGGACACTCATACACCTCAAGATCAATAATCATCACAGGGTCTTCTTACTCCTTGGTTCAGTCCACCCCGCGTAGCCATCCCTCGTTTGTCGCCTGCACTCACCACCAAGTTGTTGTAACTTCCCCTTAGCCCGCACCTATACCTAAGGTGCCTGACACCTGACACCTGACATCTTGGGGTAAGAGCCGTGGCTGAGGCTAAGGGGCCCCTAAGCCGTGGCCTCTTACTGAAGGGACCGAGCGGGAAACAGGAGAAAGGGGTAGTGGAGGTGCAACATGTTCATATGGGCTAGCGATTGGGACACTCAAACACCTATGCCAGATCAATAATAATCATCAGAACTGCAATCTCCTCCATCGACCGGCCCATCATTGCCTTGTTCCTCCTGTTCCCTGACCCGAACAGTACCAGCTACCGGACCAGGAGCTTCGCCCTCGTTCTCTACCCCTACCTCTTCCCCGTCCTCACCGTCTATCCAATTTCCATTCTCATCGATAAATTCATACATATTCTCTGCCGTAATCTAACCGCCGCTCCCGGGTACTGTGGGCGGCAGGCCTCCGTCTGCCACCACCGTCTTCTTCATCTCTGGATTTTACCGGGTCTGGATGCAAGTTTGAGAAATTCGACAATACGGTGAACAAGGCCGTGACAGGGGTTTGTTCTGGCCTGTGTGTTGTGTTATTGTGTCTAGCTAAGAGCTACTTATAGTATCTATAGGGCGCTATGGCCTCATGTATGTACATGCTGTCGCAGCCCTCTCATCAGTCTATCAGCTCACTGGGCTAGCCTTAGGCCCAGGAGGTAGGTACCTGTACTTTTTTAGGATCACTCCTGGAGATATTCAATCATTCGGGTCTTTGATGACGCAGCCTTCAATGGGGGAGGGAGACTGCCCTGACAAGCCCATCCCATCTCTTTACTCAACCGAGACAAGCATACAGCGTTGCTATCAGGAGTTATTCAGTGACAGTTCTCAAGAGATGTCGGTACATGTATCTACGATACTAGCCCTTATCTTCCTGGCCACTTAGGTCCTCCTACTCCTCCTATTAATGTCTATAAGCATCACCCTCCTCATCATCAATGTCCATGAGCTTCAGCTCTGACACCTACAGCTCAGGCATCTCCGGTACCTGAAAGGGGTCCCTTATAAGACATTTAGGGCTTAGGGGGCCTTTCAGGATCTTAGTTAGGTACTTGGAGTCTTCTCCCTAGGGCCTACAGAGCCTGGAACACCTGGGCATTGTTCTCGGCACTTGCGTACCTCTCATGAATGCTCAATGTCCTCATACACCTTAGGTACGTAAGACCAAGGGACACTCATACACCTACCTAAGTACATGTATGTAAGATCAATAATCATCGGAGCGTCCCTTTGCCTACCTGCAAGGACCGTAATTATACTTCGTACCAGTGATTAGAATTGTCTTCCTCTCTGTCCAAGACATACGCTCTCTGCCACCACTGCTCGTGCGCATGTCTCAACGACATCATCATCATCATTTTGCCCACTCTTGTCACCTACTTGTTAACCCCCTGGCCGATTCCCTCGCTCAACTACGAGCGCAGGTCATCGGCGTTGAATGCTCCAGTCCCCACCATCGTAGCCTGATGTAGAGGCCCTGCCTCCTGTGGCAGTCGATCCTGGCCTTGAAGTCAGCCACACCTATTACAACTCTTCACACTTGACTGCAGGTGGCTAGTTCGCGTCAGCCGCTTCAGCCGGCAGTGCGTGAGCTGCCGAGCTGCCTTTGCCTTTGCCTTTGCCTCTGCTGCTGCCGTTGCCTTTGCCGTAGCCGTTGCCGTTGCCGTTGCCGTGGGAAGTTGACCCGCTGCGCGAGGCCATGGCTCGTCCTCGTCGATGGGATCGGATTTGTGGTTGTGGTTGAGTTGGCTTTTGGCTTTTTGGCTTTTTGGCTGGTCCTGGTCCGACTGCCACCTTTGCCCTTGCCTTTTCGCCGTTACTCTAAGCCCTGAGCCCTCGATCACCGGACGGCCGGGCCCCAAGAGCCCGTCCTCCGTACCGGGTGGCCCCTAGGCCTCTGCTTGGGACGAGGCGAGACCAGTCCACAAAGTCCTGTCTTGTATCCGTATTTGTTCTAGGAAGGGGTAGCCTACGGTAACATTGTAATATTTCCTTAGGATGCCTTGCCCGTGTGATGCCTTGCCCGTGTTGGAAAGTCGACACGCGACACTCAAAAATAAAAAGAAGCCTCCCCGAATGCGTCGCAGACTATCAGCGTACGTGTGCTCCGTACGTCTGCTAGCAGTAACGAAATGGTGGATTTTAGAGTCAGAGTCCAATCTTTGTAGTGATCGTAGTGATCAGATCGTAAGCGCACCCCGTCCTTCTCCTTCGTGTTTATCGCCTGCACTCACCACTCACCACCTAGTTGTTGTAACTTCCCCTTGACCCGCGCCTGTACCTAAGGTGCCTGGTAGTTGGGCTGGTAATTTACGTAGAATTCAGAAAAACACGTTTTCAGATTTCAAGTAAAAAAACTGTTTATTTCATTTATTTACCAAGGAACCTACTCTTGGTATTTATTTAGGAATTTTAGCCTGGCTTTAGTGTGCTTTAGCCCTGTATTAGCGTATTACTAACCTACTTTTTGTATGGGATCATGTGATTTAGCTTTGCTCTAGCGTACTCAGCTCCGGATAGCGCTTCAAAGATGCACGCTAAGTCACGTGTCTGTAATAAATGTAAAAGAAATCTAGGTTATTTATAAGGTCATTTTGATATATTTACAGGGTCATTCTAAATTATTTATAAGGTCATTCCAACAGGTTTTTTATTCTAACGGTCGGGAACCCAACCCTGGTGGTGCGTGGCACCTTGGGGCAAGAGACGGCTGTGGCTGAGGCCCCTAAGCCGTGGCCTCTGTCTGAAAACTCGTCGCGGGCCACGCTGTACTAGGCTATTACCGCGTACGCCGTGCACAGAACAACTGCTTGGGTACCTAAGGTGCCTGGCACCTTGGGCCAAGAGGCAAGAGCCGTTGCTAAGGCTAAGGGGCCCCTAAGCCGTGGCCCCGAACACCCCTTTCCTGTACGGACACCGGTAGATGATTGCGTTGAGTCAATCCTCTACGTGGAGGTGGAGGAACACGCGGCCGAATTACGGAGTACATATCGATGCGTCCAACCTCACTGCTCCTTGGATTCTCCGCCAGCGGGAATCTGGCATTCAGTGCCTCATTCCGCCTGGCTCTCACTGAAAACTCGTCGCGGGCCACGCTGTACGGAGGACTAGGCTGTTACCGCGTACGCCGTACAGTGTACACGGTACAAGTGCCTGACCTGATCGTATCTAGCGGGCTGACCATTCTCCACGAGGGCGATCCCACTCAAGGAAAACATATTACTCCGTACTCCGTACTGCTATAAGAATAAGTCCTGCAAACGTAGTACGGAGTACGGAGTCCAGAGTATATGTGTCTGTGTCTGTGTCGGTTGATTTATTTGCAGGATTTCAACCACCATGATGCTGCAGCCCATGCATGACAGGCCCGTACTCGTAGAGACAGGCTTCTTTTTCAACTAGTCGTTCAAAATCAGCAGAACCTACATCAACATTTTTATTTCCACCTCAAATAACATGTAATACTGTTACAGTTAAGGTTATAGCTAAATCTCCTAAATCTAAACTTAAATCTACACGACTAGCTTCTTTTTCAACTAGTCGTTTAAAAGTACAGAACCTTTAACAGCACATTTATTAGTTGCTCCGGCTGGTGTGGTGTATCTATAGAGAATGATTATTCTGTTCGAACATGAAAAGAAAAGAGTAGAATTTATAGATGCCGTAGGTGGAATATCTAGAGGCAGCAGCATAGCAGCATATCCACGGACTATCTTAGGGCACCCATTTCAACACCTATTTCGTACCGCACCTATTTCGGCTATCTCGCTAAGTAGTCGATATTATACGACGGTAGAGACGTTATATAAGAGCCCTTAAGGTTATATATAACCTAATTATTTTATTAGCGTTTTATATATAAAATTATTAGACGTTCTATTATATATTATATACTTTATACCTTTTAACCCTATTATCGCTTAATATTTAATCTCGTCGTTAATCGCTATTATAAGCTAATATAGCACTTTTATAATATTACTTAATCTAAATATATCTTCTCTATAGCTATATAACTAGTATACGCCTCCTAAGTACTTTAAGTATCTATAATATTCTCTTAAGAAGACTATTAATATCTATTCTATAAAGTATCTTAACGATTCTATCGATAGCGAGATATTCTTATTAATTAACGAGTACGAGACTTGTCTTATAGCCTTCTTGCTATCTTAAAGCTTTAATATAGTTAAGATCTACTCTAAGTAAGACTTACGAGTAACGTTTATCTACGTCTTTTATAGTACTAAGACTCGTGATTAGCGTAAACTTAAAAATAGGATTATTATAGATCAGAAAGGCTTAATTATATTAACTCGTAAGTATAGTACTACGTTAGTTAGTTAGTACGACTATAAGTAGATTTATAAAGTCTTCTATAAGTTAATTAGTAAGCGAGACTTTAGTTAAAAGAGATATATTCTCGTCGTAAGATCTCTATAGTACTTAGAGTATAATCTAACGAGTAACTCGCTTATCTTGTCTCGTTATAAAGCGCGTCTAGAGAAGTATTATACTCTTAAGATATAGACTTAAGCGTATCGCTTCTTAATTCTTCTTTACTCTATTAATTAAAGAGTACTTGATATACAGAAGTTTAGTATCACGGTGGCATAGAGCAACGAGCAAACGTGTTATACTATTATAATATAAATACTAAGACGAGAGAGTAAAAAGGAGAGTTACGAGAAGCGTAATAAGTATAAGGCTCTCTCTCGAGGTTACGTGTATAATAAGGCTATACTAAGCCTATTACTAAGATTTTATAGTTACGTAGTATACTAAGTTATAGTTAGTATATTAAGAGATATAATAGTTAAACTATCTATATTATAACTCTATTAATATTTACTATAACTTCTTATTATCTATCTAGCTAGATAAAGACTAGAATAGAATAATAAATATAATAGTATAAGTATAGAATTAATATAGAGTAGATTATAAATAAAGTTTTTTTTAACGAATCTATTCTTTTATAAAGACTTCTTTATTTTCTATTTTCGTCTAATAAACTAAAATTACTGAAGAGTAGAGAGCTATTATATATTTAGATAATTTAATAGTTATATTTACGAATCTAATAGGTATTATATTATCCTTATCTATAGATTAATTTAACTACTTTCTAGATATTAAACTCTAACTAGTATTATAACTCTATATTATATAAATTATAAACCTAAAAGTAATTAATTCTTCTTTTTCTAATCGTATTATTACTATATAACGTTATTCTACTCTCTCGTTCTATATACGTCGTCTTTACATTCTTTACCTTTTATACCGAACTTCTACTTTTACTCGAAATAATAAGTTAGGAAATTATTATACTCGAGATCGATATATCGAGAGATTGTTATACTAGGGCTTGATTTTATACTAGAGTCTTAAAGTAAACTGTGGTTTTAGGTAATATGCTAGCGAGAAAGAGGTAACGTAGTATCCCAGCAACTTAATGTCGCTTATGTCCTGATCATGTTTTTGAGATTGGCTCTCTAGGCATCGCTTGATGGATTGAAATAGCATAAAGCCTTGGTGCACTCATGCCGCATCTGGTGTAGCGCTACTAGCCTCAACCAGCCAGGGGTAATGGCGTAGCTCCCAGGGCCTAGTTGGTCGATGCCAGGAGCGAACACCGACCATGGGAAAGATATTGGGAGCCACCATTGTTGCACCACCGGGAAGGTTTGCGGGTAGAGGAGCAGACTCGAGACGACCTGAAACTCTGTTAGCTGAGCGCAGTGTACAACTTGAGGGAAACGAACCCAGGAAAGGGGTATAGTCTTCCAAAGGCTCGGGTTCTTGGATTGGAAGGTCGAGTCGGATTTTCAAATGCTGCAAAATATCAGCTTTGAAATACGCAAGTATGGGTAAACTTACCTCCTTGAACGGATTTGGGCGTGAGTACATCTGTAAGTGTTAGCGGATCTGGACCAAGTTGCCTAGAAATACTCACAGTGGTAGGTTGTTGACTAAGCATAGGTACCCCATGAGGTTCATCATCATCTTCCATATCCTGCCAACTTTAGTGTGTGAACAGTAGAACAGAAAACAGCAGGAACTCACTAAGTCGATCAATCTGGTGGTCGATGCCCGTTGCACCTCGACTGGCATTTGAGCCTGTTACAGTCAGCTATAGTCGTCTCGAAAAGGTAAAAAGAAATTTTAGACTTACCTCCCTTATCCAGCGTGCAATAACTCGCTCCTCTGCCTTGTTGTCTACAATGAATCTCATCCCCACAGCTGGCACGATTTGAAATGACGATTTCGGAATGGTTACCATGCGCTTCTCAAGTTCTGGAGCACCTGGAGCCATGTTGAGAAAGAAATTTTCCCAGCCTTTGCTGCCATATAGATAGCTCGTGTGTGTAAGTTTGTCACGCGAATACTGCGCAATCTCTCTTGCGGATTCACGAAGTAAGAGATCTTTGACCGCTTGGATGAATTGCAGATTTCCATCAAGTGCTATCATCGCAGCAAATCTTGCTCTAGAGGCAGGTGAGGGAAACAAGTCCGGATTCTGGAAAAGTCGTGAGATTTCAGTCTCGAGAAACTGGACACGATGGATTTGAGCTGCCCAGTCATGACGCCTGCCCAGCTTGACAAGTGGAAAAGCTTTGGCCCGGAGAAACTCAAGGACAAGAAGGGTGAGATATTTTTGGCTGCAAACGCTCAGAACCTGCCCATCTGCTGTTAATAGTTCGTTAGCTAATGCTTCTGCCGAAATAGGATGTTCATTACGGTTCACGGCTCCTCGGTGCAAATCCTCGTTGCTCAACTGGCAATTTCCACTGCCTCTCGACCGGTGAGCTGCTGCGTCCATCGCGAGCACAGTGATAACTCGCTTGAGACTGGGTTTCAATCGCTTCAAGGAGCTGGTATGTGAAGGCGAATGGAGGAAATGATAACCCAAGATGAATTTGCAGAATCTAGCTCGCTGGAGAACTGAGGAAACGCGTTCTGCGAGGATAAAGCAGAGGCATCTTTCTTGGCGACCAAAGGACAATATGAAAGCTAGGGGTGAGGCAGTATCCGCGTAACCAGTTTCAAGTGAATCATTCACTAACACATGCACACAGTGAAGTGAAAAGCTGGCTCTCAACTTTCAATATTCTTCATCACTCCCTCTCACTTCTCATCTTATCCCTCAACTTCTCACCTTCTGGATTGCCAACGCAATCAATTCTCCGTCCGGCCCTCGCTTCTTAGATCAGGTTACTGAAACCAGTGTCTCACATTCCAGTTTCTTTGTTGACGAGTCCGAGCGCTTGACCCTGCCCCAATTACAGGTTCAAGTGAAAATGGCTGTCAACATGAACTCATCCCAAGCATCCCTTGCAAATGCCATCAGCTCCTTGAATCCAGCTCAATTGAGTGCCTTGACAGCCTCGGTAGCAGCAGCAGCTGGTGCTCAAAACACACCACCTGTCACCGCTGGGGCCATGGGAGCAGCAGTCAATCTTCCACAGTCCACCCTTCCAACTGTCCAAGCGTCCAGCAACCTTCCTGGCAATCGGCGTGGATCTACTGCAGTGCGCAAGAAACCTCTCAATGCTTTCATAACATACCGAAGTAAGTGAAATCGTCAATCTCAAAGATGGAATCTAACAAATCCTTCAGCATACTACAGTCCCTTGTTCAAAGGACTCACCCAGAAAGAAAAGTCTGGCCTCTTGCGGGTGATGTGGAGTGCAGATCTGAAGAAACCAATGTGGGAACTTCTTGGACATGCGTACTCAGACCTCAGAGACCATCACGACGAAACATTGCCTGTCGACAAGTTTCTTGCTGTCAGCGTGCCTTTGCTTCCTGTTGTGGCAGCTGACCAGTATATCTCCAAGATGGGTTGGGAACTCACAAAGAATCCAACTGGCGAGACAACACTCACTCGAAGCGAATCCTTCAACGCTGACAAGGTCTATGCCGAATACCCAGCACAAACCAACCTGTCAATGGCAGATGTTGTCAACCATTGCTACAATGAAGGATTGCTGAAGAGAGGAGCTCGGCGCAGCAGCCCACGTCTTCGCCCAGGTCGCCGAGCCCAGGTTTCGACCGGAAATAGCTTGGCCAATGCAGCATCTGGTGGCTCCATCATCCTCGCCGTGGCCCCTCAACCAGTAAGTCAACAATTGGCAGCCCCTTTCTTCCCTTTGCCCGATGTTCTGTTTGACGTGACACTTTCTGACTGGCTCGCTAACCAATGCCCTTGAATGCGGACAGGTGTCCTCACCCCTAGCTGATGCCACCACTTCCACTGCGACTGCCCCCACTGCCAACAGGGCCGTCGAGTCTGAGACTGAATCTGGCTCCGAGACCGGTGAGCCGCGAGACTCACAGGCTCGTGGTGATGAAGAGGAACGAGTCCTTGGCCAATTATCGGTCGAGGACATCACCCAGAACCCCGCCTACCTGTCCATCCAGCACATCACTACCGACCAGCAGGCGGCTTTTGATGGTTACGCGCTCGCTCTCCACTTCCATCCCAATATCCAGCCACCCATCCTTGGCTTCGACCCCCGTATCATCCAAGATGACTTTGATCCTTTTGATTTGGATCTTAGTGCTCTTATTAACTGGAAAGCATGATCTGGCACAAACACCGCGGTGAGAGGTCATCGGAATAGTGTGGCTTTATGTCACAAGAATAAGAGAAGCATAAGGCAGCAAATTACACAAATTCGCACATAAAAAAAGGGAAAAAGATACGAAGTCACATAAAAAAGGTTGATTTGCAACTTAATAGATGGGCACATATTCAGCAGCTGACATGGCGCACTTTGCAAAGTTCCCCTCGACACAAGAGCTTATGGTAAACCACTGTGTCGTTTGCCATCTGAACCAGAATGGATGAGCCTGCGGACTGGGCTTCGGGTTGTGCTGTCTCTTGGGAAGATGGTCTAGCTGGGATGGTCAATGGATGAACAGGCTGGTACATAGCACTGCCGGTGGCAGTCGTCGAATCGGCAATAGAATAAAAGCTGCAAAGCACATCCTAGTTTCCGTTGTATGTGTTCGCAGGTCATGACTGCCAGGTCATGACTGTCTGGTCAGGTCAGGTCAGGTCAGCCGACTTTGCAGACTTCCTGGCGCGCCAACCGGTAGCGACGTCCCTTCTTCTCAACCTGCGGCTTCTTGTTCTTGTTCTCTTCTTTCTCGTCCTCCTCCAGCTCCTTCATTGTCTTCTTCTTCGCCTTCATACCATCAATCTTATTTTTCACCTTCACCCAGAACGATCAAACGCCCCAAATGGCTTCCTCATCTCTTTACCTAGGCTATAGTCTCTTCGGTGGGCTGGAGATATCTCTACCCCTCATGTATGCCGTGACACTCGACCCGCATCCGCCTCCGCATCCACATCCACCACCACCACTTTGGCAGCAGGAGCTTGGCAAGATTGGGCTGGTCAGCCTACATACCAATGCTGCATGCACAATGTGTCACGAGGAGGGTCCTCACCAAAATATCAAGAGAAGCTGGTTCAGGTCATCTCTGACACTGACACTAATACCACTGCAGTCGATGTCGATGCCACGGCAAAAGATAGTCATCAGCTGGCTGGCTGGCTTGGCCGTGGCTGCTACATTACAAGATGCGGACAGAACTGGTGCCTCTGCACACCGGCTTATCTTGCCTGTTAGTCCCTTGTGTTTGAGCCACCACAGAAGACTGCAACGTTCCATGTTCACGGGACATTCCCGACCATGGCAACCTGGAGGAAGCCCAAGTCCTCCACCAGAGTTTGCTGGCGATGCCTGCGAAAAACGCCCTCCTTCCACTGATCCGAATGGGAGAAGTGCAAGGTGACTGCTGCCGTCATCACGTTTCAGAGAGCCCTCACCATTGTCCCGTCAAGAGATGAATGAAATTCCCGCCCAGCACAAACCTCTCTGTCTCCGTGGCTTGTTCACAGCATCCAGGCCTGTGAGGGTTCACTCGAAAGGCTCTTTCACATCTGTCCTCTCTGCCGCCATGGAATCCCGTACAGCAGCCGCACAGCAACCACAACGCTGGAACATAACACAATGCTGAGCTCAACCCAAGACATGGCGAAAATCGTTCGGCAGATCACTGCAACTCTGCACGGCGTCAAACATCCACCGCTGGAGAAGCATTTGCACACACTCTTCCTCTCCCGCCTCAGATCAGATCATCGAGATAGGGAGGTCAAGGATCAGTTACGTGCACAGTATCACGGATCTATCCACCATTTCTCGACTCTACGGGCTTCCACCGCTCCAGCATCGAACCACGATACTAAACACAATGCTGAAACACAATGCAAGCACTTCTCAACTGATTTTCGGTTACAGGCCCATCGTCCTGGCGCAGCACTCTCCCATGGTGACAAACTCGCTCGAGCCCACGAGCAAAGCGCCCTTCATTTTCTCGTATGCGAGCCTGATCAGTGATGGATCCATGCATATCTCTTCCTTTGAACGGCTTCTGGGCCATTACATCAACCGTGACAATGTCGCCACTCGGTAGCTGCGACCGCGCTACATCATGTTCTAGGACATGTTTTATATTGTCACCTTTGTCCCGAACACTTCAAGGATCCCCTCACCATTCCTGACCCTCACGCGCACAGAACTGCCCGCGAGATCTGATCCAAGCCAAGCCTTCAGTGCTCATACCTGACCGCAATCAGCTTCTTGTCCTCCATGCAGCTTGAGCAAATCTTCGGCACGGTACACTCGTGGATCCTGGCCGTCATTGGCAAGACAGCTTGACACCAGATGAGCTACAGCAGACGAGGCATCTGTGGACGATGATTGTCAAACGCGGATGACACATGGAGAGACGCAAAGTGGAAACATGTTAAAATTGTCGTGTATTCGCAGTACGGCCTGAGGTTGACTGCTCCTGAACGTTATTGCGATGGCCTTGTCTTCTGAGGCCAGATCCAAGTTGGTACCCAGATTGATTTGATACAGCCGCCTCTTTGGCCAATAGCGGCCGCTCCGCCATCATCGACGAGGAAGCCGTCGTCCAGTCCCGTATGTTGTCTCAACGAGACATAGGTCACCGTGATGATGAGTTCATTCTGAATTCTGGACAAGGCCAACCAGAAGCATATCTAAGCAATGCTGTCGCAGCAGCTACAGCTGGCAGAGCTAAGGGTGGGTGTCAGATTTCATGGCCCCTTACCTCCAAAAGCGTTGTGACCAGCGCGACATAAGGCGCCATGAATTCTGACACCCACCCTTAGGCTGGACAGCGACGCCTGCAAGACCAAGGATGAGCTCGAAATTATCTGGCAAATGGGCGTTGCTTCCATGCCATCAAACAACAATCAAATGGTGATTCCCAAATACGTCGCTTTATCTCCGCGCCAATCCCCACCCCCGTTAGGGGGTGGGGAGGGGTTTTGTTTCTGATTTGCAAGAGGCCAGCCGGACTTGCTGACAATGATACCTGACCCCGGGTGACTCCGGGGTGATACACCCGATGTCGGGAGCGTTCCCTGGCCAAGGGTATCAAGAGACATTACGGTCGATGTGTCTAGCCCAAGGCTTTTCAAGCTGGAGATTTATAAAGAGCTGCAGCGGCGCTGAACGGTAATCCTATCAGTGTACGTTTGTCAGATCAGGCTGAACCAATCCAGGGATCCTGGGAAGGACAGCGACGCCTGCAGGACTCACTAGTCTTCCTTTCAGTTCTACAAAAGGGTGCATCACCCTCATTTTCAGAGGCGTTTATCCTGTTCGCGGCAAGATCAGCGGGGCTGATGCGCCCATCAAGAGGCTCTATGAGCCGACCGTCTATCTTGCGAGGTGCCGGCGCTGCTGGCCAAAGAGTGCCCTGTCCGCAATGGCCGACCACCGGCCTGGTCTCTAGGGTTCAAAGGCTTAGGGGCCACCAAAGTCCTGAAAGATGCGGGGGGTCCGGCCCCCAGAGGCTCATTGGCATCGAGACTCTTTGGCGTCGAGACTCTTTGGCGTCGAGACTCTTTGGCGTCGAGACTCTTTGGCGTCACAACTCTTGTCGCCATCTATGCCAAATTCATTGTCAACAGGTCTTCTCAGCCAGAAAGACTCGAGCAAATTCAACAACCGAGCCCTTCCTGCAAGAAGCAGAACACGGCGATGCCGTTCGTGGATCTTCCAAATACTCTTGGAATGGGTATCGCTACCTCATGATGAGCTCAAACCCCTCTCCAAAGGGTCCGCCGCCAATTACATACATGACACTCTATGGTCAACGGAAGGCTCCAGACTACAGACCACACAGACCGCTGTACAGGAACGAGCCTAAACCCCTCGACAAAACCTCGACAACCCCTCCACATGCTGATGGACGCCAACCCATGTCTCTAGGACCCCTTCTCTGTCGTTGAAGAGAGCGGCCTGCCCAGACACAACGAGAATCTCCGGCCGACCTCCATCGGCGACAGGAGGACTCCAGGGCTTTTTGCTGTCATCGCCAGCCTGTGTGGGAGTGACCTTGCAGCTTGTGTGACCCCTCTCTTCCATTCTGAAGAAAGACAGGTGGCATTCCTGCGCATCCTTGGTTGTGCCAAGCATCACCGGACTCGACGCTTCACCTCGCACACAGAACTTCACACAATGAACTTCACCTCACACAGTGAGTGAGTCACTCACCGAACAATGAAAGAACGCGATCGCGTCCCCGAGTGAATGCCGAGTGAATGCTGCGTCATCAACCCTGCTGTGAAGTTGGCTGTTTACAATCAAGATATAATGGCAACAACAACCGTCTCTGTTCCTCCCACCTTCTTGTCATCAGTTCGATCTTTCAGCATTCTCCTCAATAGCCGTGAGTCCTCTTCCCACAGCTTGACACAGGATACCCAACAAGACCAGAACAATCAATAGGTATTTCTCCTTTCACCTTCTACCCAAAGACAACAAATCTCCCTGTTCGTCCAACATGGAAAGTCTAGAGTCGAAACTCTTTGGGCGAGAAGATATCATCGAAAAATACAGAAAATCGTTGCAGGTGCTACGTAAAACCACCAACTCGAAAGACCGTACCATCGACATGCAAGGCGATATGATCAAGGAGCTGAAGGCACATCTCAAGGAGCAAAATAGTACCGTTTATCAGCAACGTGAGACTATCAATGAGCGAGACGACATGATTGAGGACCTGAAGGCAGAACTCGAGCAACGAAATGATACCGTCAATAAGCTGCGTGTGACTATCGACGAGAAAGATGATGACATGAGTGAGCGTGACGACATGATTGAGGAGCTGAAGGCACAACTCGAGGAACGAGATGATACCATCAACGAGCGAGACGATATGATCGAGGAGCTGAAGGCAGAACTCAATCAGACAAATAAAGGTTGGGAATGGGCCATGAATGAGCTCGACAAAGAAGTCCGAGTCCGAAAGGGCACCATCAATCAGTAGGACAAGACGATCAAAAAGCTGAAGGCACAACTTGAAGAGCAAGCTGGTGCCATGCTTGAGCAAGACCGCTGGGTCGATGTATCGCCGTGATCAACAAGAGATGTATCTGGCTCGGAGGACCTCACGGCAACCTTGAATTTCCTGGGTTGCATCCTGCTCGGACTGATGTCTTCTTGTATTTCTCTCACAAGGTCCGCGATAGGGAACGACCCATGACCTGTGATCATTTAACGATTACATAGCATTCATGCAGACGACATGTACGATAGATACACTTTGATTCGAGTCTCTCCAAGAGAGTGAATGATTGATTACTTGACCATCTCCTACTGTCCAGATTGGCGTTGGAATGGCTCTTCCATCAGCGCCCATGTCTTGAACCTCGCACTGATGCTACGATGGACTTGCATACATGATTTGCCAAGACAGAGTTCATGGCAGGGTTACCGTGGGGCGGTTCACCAAGTATGTGACGATACCCTTCCCTATAAAACATTCGCGTGGACGAGACCTTGAGACCTTCCGCTATGACCAGGGGGTTGGCTTCCCGAAGAAGACGCTCCGAGACCGGTGAGCAGCGAGGCTCACAGGCTCGTGGTGCTAAAGAGGAAGTGTTGAAATATCATGAAATGACAGCCCTACCGAATTAGGCTTACTGGGCTAGGCAAAGGCTTGGCAAAGGGTGGTGGTCTTTATGTAATTAGAACCTGACAACTTAAGCAACACTCATAATTACGACAGGAAGGAGTCGTTGGTCAATTATCGGTCGAGGACATCACCCAGAACCCTGCCTACTTGTCCATCCCCGACGTCATCAGCAAGCGGCCTTCGAGGGCCACACTCTCGGAGACTCCGCCTTGGGCCTGGTCGACTCCCGCTCATTGCCAGCTTCATCCATGATGCATCTAGACGGCGTCAACTCACCTACCAAGTTGCTGCACAGTCTTCTTAATGGCGTCCCACAGACAGCCACCGGTTAATAGCGCAGGTGCGCATACTAAGTCATAGCAAGCGACTGGATATGGCGGGCGCTATCATTACATCACCTCGCACCTATAGGGTTTCCCCTTGGCCCACAGCAACGTTGGTTTGGTTCTTGAGCTCCTCCTTGATCTTAATCTCCCGGGATGGTTCCCGGGCGGTGCTTTCCACGGACAGGGTACGGTACGAGGCGAACGAGCTGAAATGGAAATTATTCCTAAGGAGAAATCAATCCCTGCCGACAAGAAGGGCTAAGCAGATGTCAGCATCATTAGTCCGGCTTCCCACAGCATACCACCATGGACTTGACTGGAGATTCACCAAGTCGGCTGCCGAGGCTGAGGCTGAGACTAAGGCCTATTTGGCATAGGCCCGTGAGGTGGCGGTCGTGGTGTGCTGACGTCAAAGGACGCACGACCGCTGCAGCACACGACCAACTTCTGGAAAGTGGCCATGGCGCATTCCTCAAAGCATATTGGCTCCCTCTCGAGGAGTGAAAGGTGGTACTGGGCTGGGCGGGCCTCTGACCTGACATTCAGCTGGAGCAGCTGGGGGTGACCGGCGCGGAGGCTGCCGAGGCCAAGGCGAGCAATACCGGGGCGGCACCTCTGACGATGGTCCTGTGCTCGATGGGCAGAGGAGGGGAAGGGAGGGCGGAAGGGCTATTTTCAATCCCGGAAAGACATCGTTCCTGGACGAACTGTCGTGGTAACCACCAACGGACACGACCCAAGAAAGCATCTACATCGGCCCACATGTTTACACTCTCGCCTGAGGGTGTAAACTTAGACCCAAGTGTCTCCCCTAACCATCCAACGGCTCTTGTTCTGGCGAGACCAGAATCTCCTGGGATCGCAATGCCGATCTTGATCTCTTCCGAGGTGATCTCAGCCGGCACTGCTGACGGAAAATATTTCCATCAGATCGGCACTAATGCAGCACGTCACACGTCACACGCCTTCGGGCCGTACCGCTTTTGCACCTCCCTTATGCACCTCGCTTATGTCATTACTAGTGATCCGCTTATGCATCTCGCTTATGTCGGGACTAGTGGTTCGCTTATGCACGTTGACGGAAAAGATCTCCGAGGACCGTGGTCCAGCCTCCATGTTGCACAAAGATGTACGATGCACTCCTGCAATACAGGGTCGCGTCATATCATTCCATGCCAGTTCCGGGTGTGTGAACTCAATCGATGTGCTGCTGGGATGACTCGGGGTTGGCTTCGAGTATCTGCATTGGGACGGTGTGATGTTTTTGTAGCCCGGGGGATTCAAGGGCCAGCCACACTTGTGGTCCTGGAGGTATTTAGCATGTCAGATCTGGAGAGAGATCATCAGTTAGAGACCCATGTATGGTATTGAAAGCATGGTTTGGGGGAGGAAACCCTCGTGTTCAAGTGTTCGTCATCAGTTCATGATCGCTTTAGTAAGCAATCCTTTCAACTTTTACATTGTCATGTCCAACCCATACACATTCTAGAAGCCTCGTGCATCTGCACAGGCACATCCCAAAGCATTCCCCTTGGCCTTCCTTGCACACTCGACCAAGTTTCTCTGCAGCCCATCTTCTAACAACCAGCAGACAAAATCACCCCCCTGTCGATCCTGTGCCGCCTCCGCTTCCATGCATCTGCTGGATGGCCTTATCTTTCTGTTCTTTGACAGCCTTCCTTTTTTGGACAAACTCCCGGATGCGATCTCTACACGGATTTTGAATGTTCATACGTGAGTCGTAGCGAGACTCCGTCGGGCTCGCAACGATGATATTGCCCGAGTATTTGCTCCCATTCTTGTCCACCCCATACCATGTCATTTCATTAGGTGGTTTGGCCCGCATGACCGTGAATCCTTTTCTTCCAGTCCCCATCGTAATGTGGCGATGGAATTCGTCCCAGCGGCGGACTTTGTGACCGCAGACGTCGCATTGAAATTTCCAGTTCCTGTCCCGTTTGTCGGGGACTTCGCGGTAGTTGCCGGCGGTGTTCCTGCTGGTGTTTCTGGATGCTTCGACCGCTGAGGTGATGGGTTGTGACAAGCCTGCCTGTGCGCTTGGAGAATGGTTACTGTTTGCTGTAGAATTGGTGTGCCCGAACACGGGATCCCCGACCAATTCAGCAATGTTGTAGATGTACTGCAACACCCAAAGTGTGAGACTTATTTCATTGCTGCGTGTAGTCAAAAGGCTAGCATCTTCAACTAGGTCTCTCAACATCTCACGGTCCATCAATTCGGGCGTGACCCACTGGAGGAGGAGATTCGCGCGTGCCAGCCATTCTGCATCGTGATCATGTACTTCCTCCATTTTGGCGACCTTGGCGTATACGTGGTTTGGGGGATTTTATTCTGTAATTTGATTCTTTGCTGTCAGGTCAGGACTCGTGTGATCTGCAGATATGTATGAGAGAGAAAAGAAAAATCAACAGAGCGCAGTAATAATATCACCACGCGTCCAGCGGTGAAGTTCGCGTCATGACCCGCTTTCACTATCACTCACGAGACCTCCCTCCGGTCCTGGACCGTCACAATAACCGGATTAAAGGTGGGAACCTTGCGGGAGGATCTTGCAGTACAATACCAGTCTGGATCAGCAGCTGGAAAGCTGGCGTCCGCCATACCCTGAGGGTGGTATTCCAGATATGGGTATGAAGTACTACTAGACGAGGTCATCGTGTAGTCTGCAGTTTTTATTTTATCGCCTAACCGGCGACTGCCACCGGCTGTGCTATGTACATACTAGGCTGTGTGGTCTTAGATATTGTTGGCTTGATTAACGAGCCCCAGATCATCTCTTTTGTTGTCACTTTGTATCCTTTCAACCACCTTTTTAGTGTGTGCGAGTCAGTATGATTCTGCCCTATGATTCTCGTATAGTATGCAGAATCCTCTTCAGACCAATGACTTTTCACCGTGGTGTTTTATGCTTTCTAGTAATAAGAGCACTTAGGCCAAAATCAAAACGATCAAAGTCATCTTAGATGATGCGAGGGTTGAAGCCAAGGATGGGTGGCTGGATATTAGGATGGAAGTAGAGAGCGAGAGCATAGCCTTCAAAGGCGGCTTGTTGATGACGTGGGGGATGGACAAGTAGGCAGGGTTCTAGATGATGTTCTCGACCGATAATTGACTAACGACTCCTTCCTCTTTAGGACCACGAGCCTGTGAGCCTCGCTGCTCACCGGTCTCGGAGCCAGATTCAGTCTTAGGCAGTGGGCGCAGTCGTAGTGGAAGCGGTGGCAAGCTGGGGGTGAGGACACCTATCCGCATTTAAGGGCATTAGCTAGCGAGCCAATCAGAAAGTGTCACGCCAACCAGAATATCGGACAAAAGGAAAAAAGGGGCGGCCAATTGTTGACTTACATACCGGTTGCGGGACTACGACGTAGCCATCGCATGACAGAGGGGGCACCTCCAGTGGGAACCTAGACTCAGCGACTTAAGCAAAGATGGAGGCTGCTGCGCCGAGCTTCCTTGCAGCAGTGGTTGCTGCGATGAACTTGACATCATATTGATATTTCTGCATTCCAAGCGCGTCTTAGAGTAGTCCACGATAGGATGGCCAATCAACCCTTGAGACATAGCGCAAGGCCACATTCTTTGTTTGAGAATGCCCACACCCTTCCTTGCCTTCTGTTTAGTTGCATGACTCCTGATCAAAGGTCTCCTTTGCTCTTCTGGTTGTGCACCATCGATCCACGGTACGATCTGCTAGAAACCATATTAGGGCGCACAGGGAATGAAAAGCTGACATCTAGCACAGTTCAATGCTCGCACACTCTGACAAGTTTTTGATAAGATCGAGGGTGCAAAAGAAGGGCTCTCGACCTCCTTCACAAACTGAGCCGCCTCGGACGTTGAGAAGAAAGCCGAAAGCCTCAGATCTCCTTTCGTGGATGCTTTCAAGGATCCAACTTTCCGAAGTTGCATGCCTCCTTGGTCACCAGTGCGTGAGCAAGGCTCCTTGCTCCACCTTGAATAAAGAATTTCCTGCCTCATCTGATGGCTGCTGGATCTTCGACTTTCTGACAATTTCATGGGCCTTGAGAGAACGGAACCAGGACGCTGGCTCATGAGATGACCAGAGAAGCTCTCCAAAACCTCGAATTTTCTGGTCGGCATCCTTTGGGCTTCACTTCTTGGTTGGGTTGGCTTACCTCTGGCCGAATCTGGCTCTAACAGAACCTTGAGCATGTTCAGCAACAATTGGACGCATATGGCTGTGGTTGGTGCTGTCGCGGCTCAGAGTCAAGTACCGTTTGAGGAGGCTATTGACACGGCAGAATTCTTATTGAGACCTAAATGCGGTGGTGCGGCAGAATCTCCCTGTGTTTGAGGACTTGTTGTGTTTTGGTGCAGCTTCACTTCACTTCACTTCACTTCCCAAAATATTTCATCTCACTTTCGAAATTTGCGTCGCCCACCAAATTTCCATTATCAACCTTCTCAACATTACAATCCATCGCTCATCAGCTCCTTCGCATGGTCAACTCTGCTTCATTGCATCTGAAACATCTCGATCAAGTAGATCCCAACTCATCGTAAGGATCCTTTTGCCTCGCAAAAATTTGTTGCTGACATTTCATAGTAACTCGGTGCCAATGGAGAGCGTCTCATCTCTGGCTAGTGCCGAGAGCGCTCAGATAACCAAGGATGAGCTCGAAGTTATTTGGCAAATGGGCGTTGCTTCTATGGTATCAAACAACGAGCAAATGGTAATTCCCAAGTACGTCGCCATCAAACTCAGTGAAGAAAACATCGACGATCTCAAAGCTCGCTTCAGGTAAGAGACTGATTCCAAGTCAAGATATTATTTTCACTAATTCCACCAGCCAATTCTATGACAACTGCTGCACGGAGACAGTTGTCGATCACGTCGCCCAAGTCTTTCGCATCCGTAAAGCTCCCGAGCCTGCATTGGTCGGAAACAGTCCTTTCACTTGCCGCAGCTTGCCATCGCCTTCCATCTCACCCCAGTCTCATCTCTCGGCCTCTGAGCCCTACCACCACGGTTCTCACGATCAAACTGGTGATACTGGAAATAAATATCAACCAGTCAAAGCAATTCGATTGCCTGGCAAGAAATCCAAAGTCCCTCGTCCACCCAATGCTTTCATCCTCTACCGCCAGAAACATCATCCCATTGTCAGAGCTACTCATCCCTTGATGAAGAACAACGATATCTCCATTCTCCTTGGCCAACAGTGGAAGGCAGAATCCGAAGATGTCAAAGCACAATACAAGGTATTGGCAGACAAGATGAAGGTCAAACATGCTTTGGAGAATCCTGGATACCAGTATGCACCTCGCAAGGCTTCCGAAAAGAAGCGCCGCATGACTGCCCGGAAGCTTGCAAAGCTCCACCTCAGTGATCCCAAATCTGATGCGCAAGCCAACCCAGACATCGAGATGGATGGTGCGAAGGGCAAACAACGATTGGATGATCCAGAAACTGGTGCTGTTGATGTTGGTCCACGTACATTCACCGAGGCAACTCCGTTCCCTTTGCCAGTTTCTGCTTCCGCAATTCTTGGAACTGAGCGAGCCAGCTATCCAAGCCAGCTTGAACTTCACGAAGATGGGGAGATGTCTCTCGACATCCCCACTGGTCACAGTCATGTTGAACACGACTACATGGTCAAGATGGATGCTGCCATCGACCTTTATGAGTCGCCCGTCGAACACAAAATCATTCGAATCCCCTACGACCGCCATGGAAGAACTACCATCGCAGCCATAGAAGCCGCATACGCCGAGCATGGTCTTAACTACATGGACGATCTCGTCGACTGGGAAGGTATCAATTCCGACATTGAGATCCTTGCCACTATGCTCCCATTCGGCGATGATCATCCAGAGGTAATCCACCCGGGGGTGACAGAAGCAGCTACTACCAAGCCTACTGCATCTATTGTCGGATTTGATGATGATAGGGAGCGCTTGGAGTTTCAAGAGCGGCTTGATAACATCCTCTGGATGCTCGAGTAAAATGCCTCACTGAAATGATCACATCGCAACCGCGTCTTGATACCAATCACATCAGCCAGATCAGGGCAGAAGAGGCATTATATTGCTGATTCCTAGACGTTACCTCTTTCTCGCTAGCACATTACCTAAAACCACAGTTTACTTTAAGACTCTAGTATAAAATCAACCCCTAGTATAATAATCTCTCGATATATCGATCTCGAGTATAATAATTCCCTAACTTATTATTTCGAGTAAAAGTAGAAGTTCGGTATAAAAGATAAAGAATACGAAAACGACGCGTATAGAACGAGAGAGTAGAATAATATTATATAGTAGTAATATAATTAGAAAAAAGAGAATTAATTACTTTTTGGTTTATAATTTATATAATATAGAGTTATAATACTAGTTAGAGTTTAATATCTAGAAAGTAGTTAAATTAATTTATAAATAAGAATAGTATAATATTTTATTTATTTAGTCTCGTTTAACGTCCTTCGGGTCACATTTAAGGTCCCACGTAGACGCCAGCTTCCACTGGAAATCCCTTACGATTCCTCCTCTTCCTGATTAACTAGGACCCTAGCCAACCAGCTTCTATAGACTCAGTCTATCAAAGTTGACCATCTTCACCACTATCGCCAGCTGCCTGGGTTCAGATGGCTTCAGCTGGCCACGACTAGACACCTCCTAGCCCTCTCACCCTCTCCCTCAACCACGAAGTCTCTCCTCATTGTCGCTTTCGGGTTCAGGCTCCGCTGGCTCCTGCCAATTCTCCTCGATGTTACAGAGATCGTACTGCCTGAGCAGTCCGGTTCTCTGTACCATCCTGGTT